TGCACTTTCAGTTTGGAGCGTTCCTGGGTTGGGACAAGCGAGCGAGCGGTGGGGAGGGTTAGCGTTTCACCAGGGAGCTCTCCTTACCTGCAGCCATCAGCATGGCTGGGAAAGAATGGCTGCATCATGTTACCAACAGCCTCTCATCTAACCAGCCTGCCACATTATAATTATGAACACTGCACTCCACCTGGACCCTGCACCATGTAATAGCTGCTGTCCAGGGGGTCTCTGTGGAGCTGGGCTGGGGGAGAAGGCTAACTCAGACTGTCAGCTCTCCTTTCCCAAGCAGAGAGCACCATGGATGGAGATGGAGAACTGTGCCATTCCCGTGGAGGGTTGGGTGTCCAGTCCACCATACAGAGGTATAGGATTTCTCACCTGTGTGCTCCAACTTTTTCATGATTACCTCATAAGGCATTCGTGTCGTAAAGACAGTCCTGGTCTTTGACACCATGACACACTAGCTATACACTGGGCTTAATTTGAAAACGCCACAGTGAAATATTCATATAGTTCCCTGAACGTGTTACCTAGCTAATCCTTGGTAGTAGAGAGAGACGGTGTGGTCCAGAACAGACAGGGTAGTGATATATGGAGGCGTGGGACACTTGTTCCTGTTAGACCCCACACTGACCCAGTGAGAGGAGCACAGAGCAGAGCCCTGGGGGGGACAAGTGTCTGACTGAGCACAGACAAAGGCCCGAGAAAGACCCCAATCCACTGCCTGAGCACAGTCACCCCCTGAAAAGATATGAGCAGGAAAAGGCAAGCGTAAATCACACCGACACACACACACACACACACAGAATACACTAAAGGGGTGGAATCAGGAATGTACAGAAAGAAAATAGAGACAGAGAAAGAGAGAGAGAAAGACAGAAAGACAGATAGAAATCTTCAAAAGCACCGCACCCAGATGTACAAAAACTCATATAAACTCATTAAAGTTTGAAGGTTTATTTATTCCAATGAAAAACAGAAAAATGAACAGAGCATGAATGCAAACATGAATGCATATCTCCATAAGAAAACAAATCTTGAGGTATGATGCCAATAGGGTCAACTTGGATGACAAGTGTTTTGGAAGAGCTAATACACAACTGACAACATATTGTAGTAGTTAATTCACTTTTACTGGAGGAGTTTCCTTCCATCAGAATGTATCCGTACCGTAACACACAATAAACCATGAACTGGGTCTGACTAAGTAAACTGCATTACTACCCTTCAATGTAATGTAAAATAGACCAAGTATCATTGATTGCACTTTCACACTTCATGGTGGATTTACAAAACTAATAAACCAGGAGTAGGTATTCTGCAAGATTACAACTATTAGTTCATTTAAATATACATGTTAAAGGTCAACTTTGGGCAAAAACTCAAAAATAGCGGCTTTAATCTGTATAACTGATCAATGCACCATCATACTAGGTCATTTAATGCTTAAAAACACAACCAAAATGTATGCATAAGATATTTGGCTACAGAAGGGCCATTTCTTACTGATCTCTACAGCTTCTTTCCAAAAACAAATCCTGTGAAATGACGTCAACACACTGGAGGAGTTACTGGCTAGCTAAAGTGGTTATCTTAGCTTGGTTGTTGCGTGCATGACCAGAATGACACATCGACGAACCACCAAAGGCACACCCCATTTCTGTTTGAAAATTGAGAAAGGGGTGGAATTTGACCGTTTTTCGTGCCATAAGTCGACCTTTAAGACTCACTCCTGTCTTGAAACAGTGTGATTTGGTTTAGTAAGACCAGAGGAAAGACAAAGTAATTTCCTGGTAAAGGTAGACTTGAATTAAAACAAGAGAGTATCTCATAACTCAACATTTGTTCATGTCATTCCTGCTTGTTTATGTCATCATTTTTGCATTGTTTCCTTCCGTTGACCAATTAGGCCTCCATCAGCTTTCCTTGGTGAAAACCCAGCCTCTAACACTTCCAGTCTTCTGGTCCCAAGTGTTGTTCTTTGCACATCTAACCTGAAGGTCGGGTATTCATTGACAAGCCACCGAAACCTTTGCAAAGGAGAAGCTTGCCTTGAGCTATTCTGCATTGGAATGAACTTGTCTTTATGACATCCAGATCTGTCCTCTACTGCTCTCTGTGATTGGTTAACTCACTGCAATTTGTTGAATTAATGATTATTAAATATACATTTACACGCTTTGCTGATAATATGACAATCCTAAGCTTCCTAAAAACAACCTGTTTTTAATTGTTCTGCATACATTTAGTTAAAATCCAACTGTAACTGTCTAGTGAAAAGGTCATTATTCAAAGAATGCATTCAGAAAGTAGTCATTATAGAAAACCCCACACATAAAACTATTTTAAGTCTAAAAACTTCTAATTAGTAGTAATTTGGCAAATATCTCTTAATTGATCATCATAGTACTCCTTTCACTTCAGTTACAGATATTGTATATTGACATTAAATACACTAGTTTCAGAATTTCATCCAAATGCATCCACAGATTATTGAAAGTCCCATCATTCAGCTTTTCAGTAGAAAATTCAGTACAGGACCGAAATTCCTGAAGTCTGATGCATACATTCCATGACCTCTGGGATTTTAGTATGCAACAGCATTGTGATCATTTTAATTCCTAAACAATAATAAGAGATCACAACAAATAGGAGTATTCCCTGTGAGGTGGATTCATCTAAACCTTTATGAAATATTCAGCATGCTAAACCACCTATTCTTAAGCAGCTAAAACGTTGCATCATTGTCAGATACAACACCTCATCTCATCATTAGCTATTGGCCTTGCATCTCGAAACTGTCCATAACTTTCAAAGAGTACAGCCACTGTGAAGTCTTACTTTGTAATTTCATCTAATACAAAATAAATGTACATTTCTAAAATGTCGATTTCAATGTTCTGTGCTCGCCTTGTGCATGGATGACAATTCCTCTATCCATGTCAACCTGCAATCCATTCAATACCACATATATTTTCAGAATGTAAACAAAGACATATTGGTGGTTTTCCTGTCCTCAAACAGGAATACAGTGAGGGAAAAAAGTATTTGATCCCCTGCTGATTTTGTACGTTTGCCCACTGACAAAGACATGATCAGTCTATAATTTTAATGGTAGGTTTATTTGAACAGTGAGAGACAGAATAACAACAACAAAATCCAGAAAAACGCATGTCAAAAATGTTATAAATTGATTTGCATTTTAATGAGGGAAATAAGTATTTGACCCCTCTGCAAAACATGACTTAGTACTTGGTGGCAAAACCCTTGTTGGCAATCACAGAGGTCAGACGTTTCTTGTAGTTGGCCACAAGGTTTGCACACATCTCAGGAGGAATTTTGTTCCACTCCTCTTTGCAGATCTTCTCCAAGTCATTAAGGTTTCGAGGCTGACGTTTGGCAACTCGAACCTTCAGCTCCCTCCACAGATTTTCTATGGGATTAAGGTCTGGAGACTGGCTAGGCCACTCCAGGACCTTAATGTGCTTCTTGTTGAGCCACTCCTTTGTTGCCTTGGCCGTGTGTTTTGGGTCATTGTCATGCTGGAATACCCATCCACAACCCATTTTCAATGCCCTGGCTGAGGGAAGGAGGTTCTCACCCAAGATTTGACGGTACATGGCCCCGTCCATCGTCCCTTTGATGCGGTGAAGTTGTCCTGTCCCCTTAGCAGAAAAACACCCCCAAAGCATAATGTTTCCACCTCCATGTTTGACGGTGGGGATGGTGTTCTTGGGGTCATAGGCAGCATTCCTCCTCCTCCAAACACGGCGAGTTGAGTTGATGCCAAAGAGCTCGATTTTGGTCTCATCTGACCACAACACTTTCACCCAGTTCTCCTCTGAATCATTCAGATGTTAATTGGCAAACTTCAGACGGCCCTGTATATGTGCTTTCTTGAGCAGGGGGACCTTGCAGGCGCTGCAGGATTTCAGTCCTTCACGGCGTAGTGTGTTACCAATTGTTTTCTTGGTGACTATGGTCCCAGCTGCCTTGAGATCATTGACAAGATCCTCCCGTGTAGTTCTGGGCTGATTCCTCACCGTTCTCATGATCATTGCAACTCCACGAGGTGAGATCTTGCATGGAGCCCCAGGCCGAGGGAGATTGACAGTTATTTTGTGTTTCTTCCATTTGCGAATAATCGCACCAACTGTTGTCACCTTCTCACCAAGCTGCTTGGTGATTGTCTTGTAGCCCATTCCAGCCTTGTGTAGGTCTACAATCTTGTCCCTGACATCCTTGGAGAGCTCTTTGGTCTTGGCCATGGTGGAGAGTTTGGAATCTGATTGATTGATTGCTTCTGTGGACAGGTGTCTTTTATACAGGTAACAAGCTGAGATTAGGAGCACTCCCTTTAAGAGTGTGCTCCTAATCTCAGCTCGTTACCTGTATAAAAGACACCTGGGAGCCAGAAATCTTTCTGATTGAGAGGGGGTCAAATACTTATTTCCCTCATTAAAATGCAAATAATTTTATAACATTTTTGACATGCGTTTTTCTGGATTTTTTTGTTGTTATTCTGTCTCTCACTGTTCAAATAAACCAAATTAAAATTATAGACTGATCATGTCTTTGTCAGTGGGCAAACGTACAAAATCAGCAGGGGATCAAATACTTTTTTCCCTCACTGTATTTCGTTTCTCTTTGTGAGTGAAGTCTTATCGATAATTGGATAATAATGTCTATTATCCAATGTCATGGTCCCAACAATAGGTTTGATATAGTTTTTGTCCAGTAATCATTTGGAATGCTGCAGTTCATTGTGGCATTTTTGCTCTGTAGGCATTAATGAAGTCATCCATTATTGGACCAATGTCAATAAACATAATCTAGAAATCTTAAAAACATGTGGACCATTGATCCTGAAGGTTCATTATTGTGTAAAAAGGTCCATTTAGTTCATGTGGTGCCTCTCTTTTTAAACAATAATCTAGTAGTCATTATCACAGTATAGTCAAAGAGTCTTGGAGGCCAAAGAATTGGAGAACATGTCTTTAGAGAAGACACTCTATCTTGCTGCTGAGGTCCCCTCCGAGGGAGTCTCCCAGGTCAAAGAGCTGCTCCAGGTTGACTGTGGAGCTGCACAGGAAGTTGGTAGATCCCTGCTCCTCTTCCTCTGGCCAGGGGCTCTGCAGGAACGCTGTGGCCAGGAAAGTCTCCTCAAAGTCTGCTCCGCTGCTCCTCTGGGTCTCAGCCAGCACGTGGCTGCTGTCTGCTGTCCCCGCGGGGGCCTCCAGGGGGCAGATGTGGGTCCCCTGCACCATCAGGTCCTCCTCCTGGGGGATGGGGCTCAGTGGACCCCCTCCGTCCAGACTCAGCTCCCCGCTCAGTGCAGAATCCAGGAGGGCGTCCCAGTCAAAGTTCCCCTTCAGGGAGCCCAGTTCCCTATGCTCCTCCACAGACAGCAAAGGAGAGCTGGAGCGCCGGGGGACTTTGACCATGGCAGTCCTGGAGCCCAGCAGGTGTTTCCTCTTGTGTCCAGGGCCTCCCTTTCCCATGGGCCAGGCCCCCAGCATGGTGCCTTCGGCCAGACAGGGGTCCCAGTTCTGGTCAGCCCCAGTGGCCTCTTCAAACTCTCTGAGGAGCTGTTGTGCCTCTGGATTGACACATAGCCCACTCTGGCTGCCTGTGGGGTTACAGAGGCCCCTGGGCAGGGGCTGGGGGTTGGCCCTAAGCCTGTTCTGCAGGGCAGGGTTGATCTGGACAGGGGGCATCCGCCTCTTCTTATAGGCCCCGTTGAGGAGGCGCTCTGCGTACTGGGGATCGATCTTCCAGAAGCCCCCCTTCCCTGGCTCGTCCTTCTGCCGCGGAACCTTGATGAAACATTTGTTCAGAGACAGGTTGTGCCGGATGGAGTTCTGAAATAGCGCATGAGGGGGACAGGGTTGATATGGCAGTACACATTCAGTGACCTGCTGACCTTTGTTAAATATTATCTGCCCCATGCACTGGCTTACAATAACAGAATGCTCAGGAAATGAGTATAACTTCTGGAACTGGGGAGTACGGCTAACGACTAAATTAATCATTTATCCAGCAAATTAAACTTTTTCCAGAAAATTCCTTCCCTTTGATGGGGAATCTGCACTTTTGATGCTATGCTGCCCCTCCCCATACTCCCCCATTGCCTCTCATTGCTCAAGCAGAAAACCTGGGAGCTATTTCTGAAAAAGAATGTAATGGGTTTAAAAACACACACACTAAAATGTGTGTTGTGGGGGGATGAAGTCTTCTAAAGCAAGATGCCTGCTAGCAAGGCAGTATTTACTACAATCTTTGTACGTTACGGGAGTATTTGCTGCCATCTTTGTACCATGAGAGCTCTTAATTCCCATAAACCATAGCTACTAATGCTTATTCAGAGTGTGGCAGATGGCCCTGAGCTCTCAATATATAGACTTTGGGAAAAGAAGTGCTCTTACTCGTTCCTGTTAAAGAAAAACAAGCTGTAGCTTGGCCCCACTCCAAAACACACAGAGCCCTCTATCTGGCTGCTCGAGACACAGTCAGGTATACGAACGTGACTGAGAGCCTCTCACAGGGCCTAGTCTGAAGCATCCTATTAGAGCCATTTTCACGTGTGTGTGTGTGTGGTGTGTGTTAGCAACATTTACCTGCCAGGTGGGGTCAGCATGGCGGAAATAGCAGAAGTTGTCAGTGATCCACTTGTAGATGCAGGAGAGGGTGATCTTGGTCTTCTTGCTGGCCTGCATGGCCATACAGATGAGTGTGGCGTAGGAGTAAGGTGGTTTGATATGAGGGTTTGTCTTGTAGTCCACCTCATCGGGGCAGTGACCATGGGCCACCAGGCCAGGGAGGGCTGACAGGGACTGCATCCTACAATAGGCTGCTGCTGTGGGCTTGCCTGGGGTGAGGGGCATCCCTATGGATGCAGGGTCACCAGCCAGAGGGGAAGCGGGGGCCTCGGAGCCCAGCTGCTGATGGCCAAAGAAGTGAGGCTGGTGGTGGGTGGAGAGGGGAGCCTGTTGGGTCCCATTGGCATTGAGGATAGAGAACTCCTGCAGCCACTGCAGGCTTGTCAGGCTGTCATCCAGGTTGACAGAGCCCCCAGTGCTGCTGCAGCCCGCTGAGGCTGAGCTGTCGTCCAGGTCCAACTCCTCAGAATGAGCAGCGGCAGTCACCACTTCCTCCTCCAGCCCCACCGAGCCCTCAGGCCAGGGGTCTGCACAGCTTAGAGACAGCATGGTCCTCCGCTCAGATGCCTCACTCTCCCCCCTACACCACCAGACAACAGCCTGACAAGGAGAAAATATACACCCGACTTGAACAAAGCTGAAAAGGACAATGATAGCCCTATTTGAAAACAGAGCCCTTTGATGCATGTCAGGGTGTAAATTGAAATAGTTTCTCTCTGTGGTAATGGCATGTTCTATTCAGTGACTTGTAGGGAAACAAATTGTAGGAACAATAGCTGCATGTAGTTGAGATCTTTCAAATGTTGATATTTGATTAGAAACTGTTTAACAAAAGGAGTGCATTGAATGTAATCCCAAAATAACGACTGTCATTAATGAAATTATGTGGGAAAGACCTGCAATGTTTATTCTCACTCATTCCGATGTTGACTGTCTGGAGGTCATAGAACTTTTGTGAAAAGTGATAGGAGCGCAGTCTAGCCTACCTAGCTACACATAATAGCCTATAGCCATACAGCGGGACTCTTCACAAAAAGGCTGAGACTAAGTCCTGTTATAAACTCATATATGTCGAGTGAATTTATGATAAACTAATCAAAACGTGATCAAATAGAGTAGGCTATTGACACTAGACAAATTAATGAATTGTGCCAAATCAGATAACCTTTGAGTTGAGTTTAAAATGTAGATTATTTAAGTGTTTCAATTATTTTTTTAAATATGAAGATGCTTATAGCTACCTATTAATTTAACTTTACAACAATACCTTGCAATAGTTACAATGAAAAGCTTTTTATTTTTATAACAAGATAGCAATAATAATTTGCTACAATTTAATGATAGCCTACTTCATTCTAATGTTTTAAGTTTCAAGTGTCACCACCATATAAAAATATGTTAAAAAACATGACAAACTTACCTTGATCTGATATAATGCTGAGAAAATACCTTGCAATCCAATTTGCCAAATGAAAAATTATTAATCGCAAACCTTGAGGGTTTGCACCTGTTGAAAATGTATGAAAAAATTCCTCAAGATGTCTTTGGCGCTCTGATGCGCGCTTGTTCAATTCAACGTCTCAAACGCAGGTCTTTATAATGGTGGCAGCGGCTAAAGGATCTCTCCGGGGGCAGTTTAATACCTGGTGCAGGAGGTTTGTCCGGCAACCATAGAAACGGTACACCCCTTGTAAACAGCTTCTCGTTCTTCTATTGGCTTGGTTGTTGCTATAGTGCTTCATTTTTAATCACTCTCACTCAGGTTTGTTCGTCACGCAAGTAAATCGAGTCTAGTGTCCCAGAAGGGAGTTGGAAGGACTGATAGTGTTATTTATTTTACACATCAGCTTGATCTTTATCCCATCAGATGAGTTGAAATGGAAAATGACTAAATGTGTTGAATGGAACTGTTTTGACATGCAGCATAAATAGACAATTGCATTTATTATCTAAAAGTTCAAGCAGATCGAGTTGGTATTATAATACAATATATTTATATTCATTTGAGTAGGGTATTTAACCCAATACCTTGCAGACAATGGGGCTTTGCGACAACTTTTGGAAGTGACCTCTGGAAATAGAAAATCATTTTTTTGGTCCAAAACAATTGTACATTAATTGTTCATCCTAAACTTTGCAGAGAAGGGCAATGAGGAGCAGAGAGTAAACTGAGTGGCATTGGCATTGAAAATAATACATTTTGGAGCAGACATCCAGCTCTGGAGTGGGGACAGAACTCAAGAGATGAGGAAGCCTTTTTATTGCTTTAGAGTTGCTTTTGTCAAGAGTCTCAGGAAACCACTCAGCCACACTAATAGAGCGTCCATGGGGACAAACCTTTTTGTTTATATTTTTATTAACAAAAGTACATTCCTTCACAGACACCCTCCTGGATGTCCAAAGGGTACATCCAAGTTCCTAGACCCTATTGTTGTGGCGCTGATTCCTTCAATCATAACCAGTTACTATTGTATAATCCTCCATCATCATAACTTGTTGCCAGCATATGGTAAAAATTACAACAAAAATGAATCAATCACAGATTAGAAATTGTACCATACATGTAGCCTACACCAAGGGCAAAGCTCTCTTGTGTACCTAGCACTCTCTACCAAGTTTGGCGAGGGCAGACAAAGAAATAACAACAGACCAATCAGCGAGATCACTCCAGTCTGACAAAGAGAGAGAAAGAGAGAGAGTGAGAGAGTGTAAGAGAGAGAGAGAGAGAGAGTAATGGAGGATAGGAACAGGGCCAGTTCCCTGAGTACTTGCCCCTTAGTACAAGTCGGCCCTTTTTGCCGCTCAACCGCGAAATCCACAGCTCATTGTTGGGCCCTGTAGGGCTGGTGTTCTGACCAGACCTGATTGTTCATGTCAGACTTTGAACCAGGCCCCGGCCCTCCTCCTCTGCCCACCTTGAGGCTAAGTCAGAGGTCAGACAGAGAGCAGCCAAGCACAATAATGCTGACAGGAAGATGAGATGTGGTCTGTCTGGGAAATAGGGAAGGGACAGAGATTAGACACCAATGGACTTGGCAGAGTCACAGCTGGACACAGCTGGGGAATACCCAACAAACATCAGCACAACTTCAGTCTTTATTGCTATCATCAATCATCAACTCAAAGAAGATAAACTGTAACAAAAAGTGAATTATTGGGAAACTAAACCTGATGCATATGAGTTTAGCGACCGGGAGACCCATGGGGCGGCGCACAATTGGCCCAGCGTCGTCCAGGGTAGGGGAGGGAATGGCCGGCAGGGATGTAGCTCAGTTGGTAGAGCATGGTGTTTGCAACGCCAGGGTTGTGGGTTCGTTTCCCACGGGGGGCCAGTATGAAAAATATAAAATAGTGTATGCACTAACTGTAAGTCGCTCTGGATAAGAGCGTCTGCTAAATGACTTAAATGTAAATGTAGTAAACAGCCACCTAAGGACATAGACACAAATAAATATGCATAGGCCACAGATTTTTTAAATGTATACAGGTTTTAGACTTCATGATATCAGTGTTTGACATTTTCATTACTCAAACATGATCAACATCTGGGATATTGAATGTTTAATCCCCCTGTATAAGAATGACTTGCATCACATCACAAAATAAACTTCTCTCCTCAAACTTTACTCAGGCAAACATTAGGGTTTGTGACAATGAGTTTCAATTGACAGGAGAGGGCGCTACATCATAGAAAATGACAGTGTAGCTCTGTTCTCCAAGGAGAACAACAGCCCAATAGAGATGTCTAGAATGTAACATTTTCGATCAAATATAAAATATAATATTTATTAAATAGTTTAAATACTCAAAATATTTATTTGTGTAGTGTAATAATTTCTGTTCTGAAAAAAAAGTATTCTAAACCAAAACAAACAAACAAAATATATATATATACATAAAACACAGTGCCTTCAGAAAGTATTCAGACCCCTTGACCTTTTCCACATTTTGTTATGTTACAGCTTTATTCTAAAATGGATTAAATACCTAAAAATCCTCAGCAATCTATACACAATACCCCATAATGACAAAGCGAAAACAGGTCTTTAGAATTTCTTGCTAATGTATTAAAAATGAAAAACAGAAATACCTTATTTACCTAAGTATTCAGACCCTTTGCTATGAGACTCGAAATTGAGCTCAGGTGCATCCTGTTTCCATTGGTCATCCTTGAGATGTTTCTACATCTTGATTGGAGTCCACCTTAGGTAAATTCAATTGATTGGACATGATTTGGAAAGGTACACACCTGTCTATATAAGGTCCCACAGTTGACAGTGCATGTCAGAGCAGAAACCAAGCCATAAGGTCGAAGGAATTGTCCGTAGAGTTCCGAGACAGGATTGTGTCGAGGCACAGATCTGGGGAAGGGTACCAAATAATGTCTGCAGCATTGAAGGTCCCCAAGAACACAGTGGCCTCCATCATTCTTAAATGGAAGAAGTTTGGAACCACCAAGACTCTTCCTAGAGCTGGCCGCCTGGCCAAACTGAGCAATCGGGGGAGAAGGGCCTTGGTCAGGGAGGTGACCAAGAACCCGATGAAGCATGGTGGTGGCAGCATCATGCTGTGGGGATGTTTTTCAGTGACAGGGACTGGGAGACTAGTCAGGATCAAAGATGAACGGAGCAAAGTACAGAGAGATCCTTGATGAAAACCTGCTCCAGAGCGCACAGGACCTCAGACTGGGGCGAAGGTTCACCTTCCAACAGGACAATGACCCTAAGTATACAGCCAAGACAACGCAGGAGTGGCTTGGGGACAAGTCTCTGAATGTCCTTGAGTGGCCCAGCCAGAGCCCGGACTTGAACCCGACCGAACATCTCTGGAGAGACCTGAAAATAGCTGTGCAGCAACGCTCCCCATCCAACCTGACAGAGCTTGAGAGGATCATCAGAGAAGAATGGGAGAAACTCCCCAAATACAGATGTGCCAAGCTTGTAGCGTCATACCCAAGAAGACAGTGCTGTAATCGCTGCCAAAGGTGCTTCAACAAAGTACTGAGTAAAGGGTCTGAATACTTATGTAAATGTCATATTTTCATTTTTTATAAATTATAAATTAGATTGATGAGGGGAAAAAACAATTTAATCAATTTTAGAATAAGGCTGTAACATAACACAATGTGGAAAAAGTCAAGGGGTCTGAATTCTTTCCGAACGCACTGTATATACAGTGAGGGAAAAAAGTATTTGATCCCCTGCTGATTTTGTACGTTTGCCCACTGACAAAGACATGATCAGTCTATAATGTTAATGGTAGGTTTATTTGAACAGTGAGAGACAGAATAACAACAACAAAATCCAGATAAATGCATGTCAAAAATGTTATAAATTGATTTGCATTTTAATGAGGGAAATAAGTATTTGACCCCCTCTCAATCAGAATGATTTCTGGCTCCCAGGTGTCTTTTATACAGGTAACGAGCTGAGATTAGGAGCACACTCTTAAAGGGAGTGCTCCTAATCTCAGTTTGTTACCTGTATAAAAGACACCTGTCCACAGAAGTAATCAAGCAATCAGATTCCAAACTCTCCACCATGGCCAAGTCCAAAGAGCTCTCCAAGGATGTCAGTGACAAGATTGTAGACCTACACAAGGCTGGAATGGGCTACAAGACCATCGCCAAGCAGCTTGGTGAGAAGGTGACAACAGTTGGTGCGATTATTCGCAAATGGAAGAAACACAAAATAATGGTCAATCTCCCTCGGCCTGGGGCTCCATGCAAGATCATGAGAACGGTGAGGAATCATCCCAGAACTACACAGGAGGATCTTGTCAATGATCTCAAGGCAGCTGGGACCATAGTCACCAAGAAAACAATTGGTAACACACTACGCCGTGAAGGACTGAAATCCTGCAGCGCCCGCAAGGTCCCCCTGCTCAAGAAAGCACATATACAGGCCCGTCTGAAGTTTGCCAATGAACATGTGAATGATTCAGAGGAGAACTGGGTGAAAGTGTTGTGGTCAGATGAGACCAAAATTGAGTTCTTTGGCATCAACTCAACTCGCCGTGTTTGGAGGAGGAGGAATGCTGCCTATGACCCCAAGAACACCATCCCCACTGTCAAACATGGAGGTGGAAACATTATGCTTTGGGGGTGTTTTTCTGCTAAGGGGACAGGACAACTTCACTGCATCAAAGGGACGATGGACAGGGCCATGTACCGTCAAATCTTGGGTGAGAACCTCCTTCCCTCAGCCAGGGCATTGAAAATGGGTCGTGGATGGGTATTCCAGCATGACAATGACCCAAAACACACGGCCAAGGCAACAAAGGAGTGGCTCAACAAGAAGCACATTAAGGTCCTGGAGTGGCCTAGCCAGTCTCCAGACCTTAATCCCGTAGAAAATCTGTGGAGGGAGCTGAAGGTTCGAGTTGCCAAACGTCAGCCTCGAAACCTTAATGACTTGGAGAAGATCTGCAAAGAGGAGTGGGACAAAATCCCTCCTGAGATGTGTGCAAACCTGGTGGCCAACTACAAGAAATGTCTGACCTCTGTGATTGCCAACAAGGGTTTTGCCAACAAGTACTAAGTCATTGTCACGATCGCCAATGAAGTATGACCAAAGCGCAGCGTTGGGAGTGAACATGATGATTTTAATTTTGAAACACACGACAAAACAAAACACGATCCGTGACGTCCTCAGTTACACCGACTGAATAAAGAACAAAAACCCACAACCACAAGGTGAACACAGACATTTAAATATGGCTCCCAATCAGAGATAACGAGCCGACAGCTGACACTCGTTACCTCCGATTGGGAGTCACTGACCAAACATAGAACGCGAACACCTAGACACTACCCACAGTACACAACACACGGAAATCTACACACCCTGACTAAACACAAAAAGTCCTAGAACCAGAGTGTGACAGTACCCCCCCCCAAAGGCGCGGACTGCGACCGCGCCTAACTACAAGCAAACAGGGGAGGGCTGGGTGGGCATTCCTCCTCGGCGGCGGCTCCGGCTCCGGGCTTCCTCCCCACTTCCTCTCCAACCCCCCAAAGTACCCCTGGTCCTGCCTAGCCCCGCTGGCCGGAACCGGACTGACGACACGCGCCCCTGGCTTGGTGCGTGAGCAGGGACAGACAGAACCGCACTGGGGACACACACCCCTGGCCCTACACGGGGATCAGGAACGGGCCGGACCGGACTGGAAACACCCCCCAGTACCTCTCGCCGTGCCTCCACACTTTCCATCCCCTTCGTAACCAGTGGCCCCCTTAAACTGGCGGCCATATCTGCCAACCTCTTGCACTCCTCCGGGCCGTACACCTTCTGCCCCGACGTCGTGAGCCCCCCCCTAAAAAATTTCTGGGGGTCTCTCCTCTCGGTGGACCAGGCCTCCATAGTCCTCTCCCAACCTTCGCTCTTCTGGCTCCACCACCCGTTATCCAACTGCTGCTTGGTCTCGTTGTGGTGGGTTTTTCTGTCACGATCGCCAATGAAGTATGACCAAAGCGCAGCGTTGGGAGTGAACATGATGATTTTAATTTTGAAACACACGACAAAACAAAACACGATCCGTGACGTCCTCAGTTACACCGACTGAATAAAGAACAAAAACCCACAACCACAAGGTGAACACAGACATTTAAATATGGCTCCCAATCAGAGATAACGAGCCGACAGCTGACACTCGTTACCTCCGATTGGGAGTCACTGACCAAACATAGAACGCGAACACCTAGACACTACCCACAGTACACAACACACGGAAATCTACACACCCTGACTAAACACAAAAAGTCCTAGAACCAGAGTGTGACAGTCATGTTTTGCAGAGGGGTCAAATACTTATTTCCCTCATTAAAATACAAATCAATTTATAACATTTTGACATGCGTTTTTCTAGATTTTTTTTGTTGTTATTCTGTCTCTCACTGTTCAAATAAACCTACCATTAAAATTATAGACTGATCATGTCTTTGTCAGTGGGCAAACGTACAAAATCAGCAGGGGATCAAATACTTTTTTCCCTCACTGTATATATTCATCAAACCCCCTGCCTGTTATACACAGAGTTTATTCAGTGTTTCCAGTGGGCCCCAAAGCTATAGTGAAGGGGCTTTTCCAGGAAACCATAGCTGTGTGCTACTTACACACTGAACCAGCATTCACAGCTCTGACAGAGACATAAAAGGAAGATGGTGACTGACTCGTGAGTCACAGACTCAGGGTGGTGGGGGGGAACCAAGATGGAGTTCATCATGTGGGCAAGAAAACAAGCAAGACATCCTGAGTATCTCTGTAAACAAAGTCCACTCTGTCAAGATCATGTTAATCATTGACCAATGAACATATGGCTCCACCCCCTTTACTCTGTATTTTGGGAGAGCCTAGGGTCCTGGTATCTGAAGGCAGATGGTGATCTGCATGAGACAATAACAGGTTAGGTTATGTCTCCCTGCAGCGTGAGTAATACAGTCATACAGAATACATCACCCATTAAAGCAAGGGCATTTGTCCAGATAAGCTTTAAGGGGACAAAATAACACAGTATAAGAACAGATAAGGTTGCCATTCAGTAGTAGCCTACTTTTCAGTAGTTTGAACTGACTAACCTCTCACATGAGCTTCAGATTCTTTGGTCTGACCCTTTAAAGCAAAGGGTCAAGTATTGAGCTATTTTGTGTGGATAAATGTTATTTCCTGTCCATTTAGAGAGGAAATGTGTTGTTTTTTGTTCAAATTATTATCCCAAAAAATATAAAACATGGGTAACCTTGTGGGCTTGATGGTCACAGTGTATGACATTGTTTCAATGAAAATGAAACAACAGAGTGACTTTCACTTTCTGGTTGTGTAATGTCAAAATGGCAGCATTGTCCTTATGTCCTTATCTTCTGTATGTTTGTTTCAAGTTTTAACAAAAAAAGTCCCATGACCTTCTAGTGTAATGATTTATTTGCTGAAGTAAATTGCCTATTAAAATAACCCCCTCTCAGTGTGGTGCAGAATGAACAGAATAAGTCATTTGTTGAAATTCCTCATGAGAAACACCCAACAGATGCTCATAACTGATCAACAAAAATCTCATAAATTATTTCCTTGAATAGTTCAATAGTGCTGAAACTAAATCATAGACGATTCTGGAACATGAGGTCACTATTCCCAGAGCTATCTATCCACGTTTCCGAAGCCTCATTCCAAATGTTATTATTTGGAATGAAAACATCTCCAAGAATTAGTAGAGTGAATCTACTCATCAGTCTCAAAATAAATGGGCCAAAATGCATGTCATTTGTGAGCCTATTCAAAATACACAGACAACCGATTAAAGCAAACTATGGAGTACTATGTTACTATGCAGGAAAAAAAGACAGAAATAATAGAGGAAAGGTGGGGTTTGAGATCCACTGGGAACCTTTGGGGACCCCTATTTACAACCGATTTCAGATGATAGATTTTGAACACTATAAATGAACATATTGTCATAATTGACTGTTTGAAGAGTTGTGGGTGTAGTCTTCAATCCATTCTTAATAGACACCATCACATTCACATTATCCAGGTAACACCCACCTACAATACATAATAGATAGCCTTCTCTGTCACGCTTTCACCTATAATATACTGTATACCTACACCTCAGCTGAATTATTCAGTCTTGCAGCGAGGGAGCTTGACATCCCACTGCCTAGTGCATAGTACTCAGAGATAATCACAGAAAATAACACACAGAACGTGTTTGGGCACCAACGCAGTCAGAGATTAATACACGTTTTCTTCTGTATATGCTGTCTCATAAAAGCCATCTTTTGTTTAGTATCAGCTATTCAGAGACTCACCGGCAGCACAGCACATTTATCATTATCGATTTATTTTCTGTTTGGAAAAAGAAAGTATTAATAGTAGGCTATGCTCACCGTTCCATAAGCTATTATATTATCGACTACTGTTATTGTGATCAAATGTACAGAATTTGAAACATGCCTATATTGTAACCAGTACAACATGTCTCTGACTGTTTGGTCTGGCACAAATACAATCATCATAACGTTGCTGTAAATATTTACAATAGAAATACCAATCCTGGACCTTTTCAATACGTTATCCCTAAATTGACCAATTATTGAACGAACCTCATATACCTTCTTATAGAAATAAGCCAATAGGTGTGATTTACTCATCCGCTGGTATCCAATCCATGAAGATGTGTACTATGCAATTACGTCACTCCAACGGCTTGCTGGCTCGCGTGATAGCCAATGGGGTACCAGCCCGTACACTCTTGCTGACTTAGTTATCCAATCAGCTGTGGTGCTTGGCTTTGTTGTTGGTGATGACATGAACTTATTTGTTGTTACTGGAAGGCGAGGGTAGAGTGTGGGAAGAAGGGTCCGGTTTGAGCGATTGATTTCGAAATTTTGAAAGAAAATACAAGGCTTTGTTTTCCCAGGTTTCAACGATAAAATAACAGAGGTGGGGTGAAAAGCGGTGAAGTAGGTGAATATGGACGAACTCAGGCATCAAGTGATGATCAACCAGTTTGTTTTGACTGCTGGTTGTGCTGCTGATCAAGCGAAGCAGCTTCTTCAAGCGGCTCACTGGCAATTCGAGGTATGCGATGTGTTATGTTTATTTGTGTGCTGGTTTCATGACGATGCAGCTAACCAGCTACTTTAGCTAGCTAACAAAGTCAAAAAAAGAGAAGTTCTCCAAAATTAGTGAATGGCGATTTTTCTTTAAAACCATGTAACTAAACCCCAGTCATACGACCATGCTTTTACCCTGGATAATCCGGAAGACCTGGTCTAACGTTAGGAAATGCGGTGTTTGCCATCGAATTTCTGTTGAGTAATCCATTGTCATTGATTTTTCGTTTTGACTGTTTTCCCACTAGTTAACGTTAACTAGCTGGGAAATTGTTGCTGCTAACGTTATTGTTTTGACAGCTGTATTGGTTACATTGGTTATTTTATGTTAGGTTTTTCATTTTGATTCTATTCAATATTACTTTTTATTATCTAACTAGCCATGGTTGCAGTTGATAGTAGTGTGATCCGATTTCTTTCAATGCCATATGAACATCAGCAATTTCGAACGTCTAATTTAGCTCGCTACAATAATAGTGCAACCGGCTTTTGGTAGCTAACTAGCTATCCAGAGAGCGAATTTGCTAGATAAGGTAACGTTAGAGCGAGTTACTTCAATTATCTCTGAATAGTTGAGTGTCCAGAAATAAAATACCTGGTTGAAGTTTTTGAAACCATAACGTTAACTTTGTTTACATTTTTGACTTGACACGACCAAACACGCGAAGGCAGAGGCACTTCCGGTCCAGACCCCATTGTTGTAGTAAGTAAAAGATGTCTCAAACGTTGCCTTTGTTTTTTGAAGATTCTCACTGCACTGAAAATGTGTAGGCTATTTAGTGTAATAACATGTATGTTACATAGCTAGCACACACAGCAATTCATTCCTCAGTCACAACTGGTAAGATTTATGACCAGTCAATACACACTCACAATTTTGGAACAAGCTTCTACTAGTTATAACTTTCCATATCTGGCTGCATAAGAGTAGTGCACCAAGAAACACACTCACAAACACACATTTTAAAGAACATTGTGTTTATAATTACAAGGTTAGGGAAAAGGGACACAGCGGACCTCCTGGATTGACTGTACTCTTGTCCAGGAGTGTTCATAGGGGATATCTATCTTTAGGCAGATTGCGGTGCATTATCCTTCGTTGTTCATATCCAGAACTCCTAATCCTGGCTCAGAGATGCACACTGTTTGAACAGGCATTTATTCTAAGCTGACACACAGCTTGACCCTTTTCAATCATGGCTTCACCCAGAGCAGCAAGGTGGAATTGTCATTTGAATGAACATATAATAGTAACATACTTTTTAAAAAATCAATAATTCACTACATGATATGAAAGAAAAATCCAGTCTATGTTGAAGCACACCCTAGAGTAATGTATAATGAAAAGTATGCAAAGCCGTGTAGGCTATATCCACTCCTGTTTGAAGAGCTCAGCTGGCCACTGGTTTGAAATATTCAACAGGGCCCTAAGTATGGACAACAGAGAGATGCTGAGAAGATCTGAGGCATCAGGCCTCTGCTTCCAGCTGGTTTCCCAAACACACCTCCTCTCTGTCTAATGACCAAGCTTTTGTTAGTGCGTACGGGCCAGCAGAAGTGGCTGGGCCAGGTGGTTTGAAGTGGCTGAGGAGGCTGCTCAGCTCCTCCCGAGAGTCAGCCTGCAGCTTGATTGGATCGGATGCATTGCAGAGACCACCTAGCCTCCTCTGGGCAACCTGTCCGGCTCAAGGTCAAAAGGCTAGTTGTCTATGGCTGGGCTGAGCTCCCCCAGGTGCTGTTGGCTAAGGAGTGGAGGGTCAGAGACTGTCAGACTCAAGGCTTCTCATTATTGTCATCTGAACAGGAGCAGAGGTGAAAACAGTTGTTGACGATTAGAGGAATAGGAATGGTTAGGAATGTGGCACGTGTAATAATGCATCTCACAAAATATGTATGTATATTGTATTGTATACACTGAGTGTACAAAACATTAGGAACACCTGCTCTTTCCATGACAGACTGACCTGGTGAAAGCTATGATCCCTTATTAATGTAACTTGTTAAATCCACTTCAATCGGTGTAGATGAAGGGGAGGAGACAGGTTAAATAATGATTTTTAAGCCTTGAGACATTGATTGTGTATGTGTGCCTTTCAGAGGGTGAATGGGCAAGACAAAATATGTAAGTGCCTTTGAACGGGTTATGGTAGTAGGTACCAGGCGCACCAGTTTGAGTGTGAAGAACTGCAACGCTGCTGGGGTTTTCACACTCAACAGTTTCCTGTGTGTATCAAGATTGGTCCACCACCCAAAGGACATCCAGCCAACTTGACACAACTGTGGGAAGCATTGGAGTCAACATGGGCCAGCATCCTTGTGGAATGCTTTCGACACCTTGTAGAGTCCATGCCCCGACAAATTGAAGCTGTTCTGAGGGCAAAGGGGGTGCAACTCAATATTAGGAAGGCGTTCCTAATGTTTTGTGCACTCAGTGTATATATTGTGTATACATATTGTATTATACATACATATTGTATATAGAGACACTATATACACATACACATACAGTATATACAATATCAAAATGTATTAGTAAATTGAATGCCTTTGTGGCTAGGCATCTTTCTATGATGTCAGTATAATGTCCGTCTCACAGCAGTGTTCACCTATTTTTATTTAGCCTATTTCTATTTCAGGCTGTTTTTTTAGGTATGTTTTTGTTATTGTTTGCTGCGCCCTCATTTAGAAGCCTGTTCAATTCTTCTGCTTTTATATAGGCCTAGTGCTGGGCTTCATTGCAGTGTTTTTCTATCAGTCACGTTACATAAGCAACACTGTCATGTCTCTTCTCTGCTCCATTGGTAGGTTCACTGCTACGTAAGGTAATGGATGCTCTCACTTAAAGCCCATGAGTAGTACTGAAACCTTTATGCCGATGCTCTTAGATATGGTGTTGCACTGTGTGTTTGTAACCTACATTATCTGTGTCTGAAACGGCACCGTTGTTGATGGTCTTGGATGTACACAGAAACACACTTAAAAAAAACATAAATAGACAAAGAACAGTGTGATCCCAGTAGCCTGGTAGACAATGGCAGTGCAGCACATTCATGTTGATATGTGTGTCACGTTGAGCAGCAGACATTCCTGCACTGCTGCTGCTGTTGTCAAACAACCACAGAGCTTGGTGTGTGGGGGGAGGGGACGGCTTTAGCCGGGAGGGGAAACCACACATTCATTGAAGTGTTCGCAAAGAGAGACTCTAGTGAAGGGAAATGGAGGCTAGGCAAGGGACTAAGGTTTAGCTAGACATGCTGTCATTCTAGTAGTAGGCTGCAGGCAGTTCTTTTAATCCGGTTACTAAGACACATTCATATTAGAGGCGATTTGTATACCAAGGAAGGACACAGCATTTGTCAATTTTCCACCTCTTAAAAAGAACATGAATCATGGGCCAGTCAGACTACTTGAATCATAAAACAGGTATCTTGCAATAAAATCTGATAAACTACTAAGGATATGTTTTGGTATCAGTTTGTATTTTTGTTTCCGGACCATGGTGTCCTTACCAGGCTGGCCTTTGTTTCATTCTGTTGTGAATACAATGGAAGTTGCCTATGGACTTCCTTGTTTGTGTTCAAGGGCAGCAACTGAAAGTAGGCCTACTTGTTTACATTGAGTGTTTCCTCATAGCCCGTCAGAGCAAGGCTGTCACAAGGAAGGCTTTGTTGTGGCCTATGTGAATTGTCCCTGAGAATATAGCACATACCCTATTCACAGTAGTTTATATAGCCTAAACGGTTTACATGTCACTGAGTTGTAAACACTCGTTTTAAGTAAAGTACTAGGCTACTAGTTATCTTCTTTTCAATGCAAATTATGGTTTTAAACAAGCCTGTGTAGCGTGTACATTCTCACTGATCAGTTAGCCTGTCTGCCGCTGCCTCTCTCTCCGCGTGGTTTACAAACCCTGTTTTAGACAGTGGAGGATAATAGTTTTAACCCCAGAGTCATGTGATCTACTCGTACCAACTGACCTACAGGCTGATGCTAGCAGAGGGGGATGGGGGTTCATGCTCTCCAGTGTGAGCGGATAGGAAGGTGAAATGTGTTACTACTGTTTTGTGGTCCGCAAACTAGGTATGGACGTGAGTACTCGAACGGACGTCAACTCGATCTTTAACCAGAGATGATTTGTTGTTTTATGCTGTAAAACTATTTGGTCAAAAAATTTTATTGGAGACAATGTTGTTTTGCTTTGACTAATGTTCAATTTGTACATGTGCATTTGCGGAACACAACAAAAAAGAAACCAAGCCAAGCATCATACATTTCTGCTCCCTAAATTCCCTTTACCCTCCTTGTTTCACTCACTCAATTGGGTTCCGACCGCTCCCTCTACACACGTGTGCTGAGTGCACACACAAGCTCCTGTTAGGCCTACATAAATAAATGCCTATAAAAACGTACCTAACTGATGGGATACACAAGCTACATTCCTTTCCAAATGACGTCAGTTTTATCACAAATTCAAAATGGACTGGTTGACTGAATTAGGGAAATATGTCTTCCAACATTTTCCATTTATGCTACTTTGCGGTTGTCACTAGTTACCACAAAGTCTAAATTGGCTATACGTAACAATTCATGAAAACAAAAATGTGCTTTTTGGTCTTAATTTAAGGTTAGTTGCGTGGTTAGGGTTAAAGGTTAGGTTTAAAATGAGATTTTAAGAAGATACATTGTAGAAACAGGCAGGGTTTATGGCCTTGTGGCTGTGGTAACTAGTGACGACCCCCACTTTGCGAACTTCTAGTGCCATTTAGAATTGGTTAGCCTAGGCTATATATAACCCCCGTAAACATAGACAGGTTGTACTCTGAAAATATGCAAAAACATCATTTGAATAAGAGTATTTTCATCAGAATCATTAAGCCTAGGCCTACTCACCAAACAGATGTCATGGCCGTAATTCATCCCCGTGGAATGTTCAATGTGGAATTGTTATTCTATTTTGAAAATTCCAAAGAACAGGCAATATATATATATATAAGATTTTGGTTTGTAACCCTTTTCAAATGATCAGATGTGCGTCACTTCGCACTATTCTGTTCTATTTTATTCTGTTATTACATTTGTACATTTTAGTCATTTAGCAGATGCTATTATCCAGAGCGATTTACAGGAGCAATTAGGGTTAAGTGCCTTGCTCATGGGCACATAGACATATTTTTTTCACCTAGTCGGCTCTGGGATTCGAAGCAGCAACCTTTCGGTTACTGGCCCAAAGCTCTTAATTGATACTACAACATAGATGTGTCTTGACTGTGATAAGGTCTCGGGAAATAAGAGAGTCTTGTCTGCTAAATTAACAAAACAAGGCTGTGCCATTGCACAGCTATAGGCTTCTACAAGAAAGTGCCACACTGCTGAGGTTACTACCTTTTTGGGGGGCAACTCAATATTAGAAAGGTGTTCTTAATGTTTTGTACACTCAGTGTATATATAAGGCAAGTTAGAAATTAGAATTCGTTATCTTTAATGGTTATGATAAATTAGGCATTGTTGCGCAATGTTGGCATAGATAAATGTGCAAATTTTTTTCCAGTGCGGGCCTTGTGTTCTAAAAGTAGCTTTTCTTTCCTTTATTCCCCGAGTATTCAGAAAAAAATCATGCCAGTACTTGAACAGTCAAAGGTCAAATTCCCATCCCTACCACAAACGACAGTTCAAGTGCTCACAATGTTCTCACACACAATTTCCTCTCTCCCCCTCTTTCTGTCTCTCTCTCTCCCTCTACAGACCGCCTTAAGCTCCTTTTTCCAGGAGGCCAACATCCCTAGTCACCACCACCAGATGGTAAGTGCATTTTGTTCCCCCTAAAAAATGAAAAAAGGGCTTAAGGCATGTATTACATTATGTCAGTGTGTTCAGGGAGCTAATTTACAGCATGGCTGCAGTGTCAGTGGCCAGGCCAATCTGCTCCTCCTCTTCAGTCAGACAGACAGAGGGACAGATGCAGACAGGACAGGACTAGAGCCATGGACATAGTAGTACAGCCCCGTCTGGCAGAGTGGCATCAATGGAGTTATCTCTTCTGAGTAGTATAGTCTACATCCTTCTGTACTACTCAATGGTGCTTAGTGGTTTTCCACACAGCCCAAGCCTTTTAGGGTAAGCTTACTTAAGAGATACTGCCACATGGACTGGCACCATGCTTTTTAGTGCAACACACGTTTCATATCATGAATTCTTAAACCTTACACAATATTTTGAAACCTTTTCCTTCAACATGTATTGCATGAAAATACGCATTGTTGTGCCAATTCCCTATGTCAGGCACAGCGAAGTAGCTAGTTCCCAATAGCTAATTTCATTGCGATGAAAGCAATGGCACAAGGCTAGCCCCTGTCCTTGGCCCAAGCCAATTTACGCAATGCTATTCCCTAACGGCTATCGTGATCATGTGGTCCGTGCATGACACCATTTCTGCTTCAACTGACCAGTTAAAGCCCCGGAGCAGTGAGTTGGAAATGTAACAATGTTTCCCACATGGAGGCTGTGCAGTGAGCATGCAGTGTTGGCATGCAGACTGAACCCAGCCATCCCCTTAACATCTGTCTGTCTGCTTCTGCTCTGCTGCTGCTGGAACAATGTTTTTGTTATCTCTCCGTTCTTTCCCTTCCTCTCGGGTGGGAGGAGCATGTTCTAGCTTGAGAGCGAGAGAGAGAGAGGAGAGTGTGTGGCCAGGGTTTGTTATTATTTTCGGTTCAGCCATTACATCATACCGCTGGAGGGTGTTTGTATGTGTGTGCGCGAGTGTGTACAAGTGTGTTTGTGTGTGAGGCGAGCATGTGCATGTTGGGAGGAGGAGTGATGTAAGCGAGCTATCTGCTAGAGAGGAGGAGGAAGGGCTGTTAAAGGGTAGAGAGAAAGAGAGAGTGATTGTGGAGAGGCAGTTAACAGCAGCTGCAAGCCATCTCCATGTATTGGTTAGTCCCTCTCTCTCTAGGCTGCCCTGCAGTCTCCTTGGGGCCTGGGGGAGCCACAGGGGAACAGTGGGCGTGGGGAAGAAAGCGCTCAGTGTAGCAACAATAATGGACACAACACTGCCCTCAATCAAACACTATTGACTATATACTGAGAACAAAGGTATATAAAGGACTCTCGTAGCCTTAAACCTACACAGACGTCAAATTTCCACAACCACTTGACATCAAGGGTTGCATTGCTTGTTGTAAACATGGGGCTGGGGTTCTTTAAATTAGGCCTAGTACTTGACCTGAGAAAACAAGTCATAATAAGTTTGGTGTCCTAGAGGATGACATTCCTATATCAATTTAATCTGTACTCAATCTGGTGTAGAGAAGCCACAACCAGTTGAATGACTGTTTCTTTTCTGACTGATGTGTACTCTGTACATCAGTAATGTATGGAAAGAGGGTAATGCACTCTGTAGTGGTGGTGGTAGTGGTAGTAGTAGTGCATGACACGTGTCATGCATATAGTGCATGTGGAAAGTATTCAGACCCCTTGACGTTTTCCACATTTTGTTACGTTACAGCCTTGTTCTAAAATTGATTCAATTAAACATTTTCGTCACACAATACTCCATAATGACAACGCGAAAACAGGTTTTTAGAAATACCTTATTTACATAAGTATTCAGACCCTTTGCTATGAATCTCGAAATTGAGTTTAGGTGCATCCTGTTTCCATTGATCTTTCTACAAGTTGATTGGAGTCCAGCTTTTGTAAATTCAATTGATTGGACATGATTTGGAAAGTGCATGTCAGAGCAAAAACCAAGCCATAAGGTTGAAGGAATTGTCCGTAGAGCTCCGAGACAGGATTGTGTCGAGGCACAGATCTGGGGAAGGGTACCAAAAAATGTAGAACCACCAAGACTCTTCCTAGAGCTGGCCGCCCGGCCAAACTGAGCAATCGGGGGAGAAGGGCCTTGTCAGGGAGGTGACCAAGAACCCGATAGTCACTCTGACAGAACTCTAGTGTTCCTCTGTGGAGATGGGAGAACCTTCCAGAAGGACAACCATCTCTGCAGCACTCCACCAATCAGGTCTTTATGGTAGAGTGGCCAGATGGAAGCCACTCCTCAGTAAAAGGCACATGACAGCCCGCTTGGAGTTCGCCAAAAGACACCTAAAGACTCTCAGACCATGAGAAACAAGATTCTCTGGTCTGATGAAACCAAGATTGAACTCTTTGGCCTGAATGCCAAGCATCACGTCTGGAGGAAACCTGGCACCATCCCTATGGTGAAGTATGGTGGTGGCAGCATCCTGCTGTGGGGATGTTTTTCAGTGGTTGGGACTGGGAGACTAGTCAGGATCGAAGAAAAGATGAACGGAGCAAAGTACAGAGAGATCCTTGATGAAAACCTGCTCCAGACTGGGGGGACGGTTCACCTTCCAACAGGACAACGACCCTAAGCACACAGCCAAGACAATGCAGGAGTGGCTTGGGGACAAGTCTCTGAATGTCCTTGAGTGGCCCAGCCAGAGCCCGAACTTGAACCCGATCGAACATCTCTGGAGAGATCTGAAAATGGCTGTGCAGCGACGCAACCCATACTACCTGACAGAGCTTGAGAGGATCTGCAGAGAAGAATAGGAGAAACTCCCCAAATACAGGTGTGCCAAGCTTGTAGCGTCATACCCAAGAAGACTCGAGGCTGTAATCGCTGCCAAAGGTGCTTCAACAAAGTATTTGTATTTTATTATTATTGATCCCCATCTTCCTGGGGTCCAGTAAAATTAAGGCAGTTATACATTTGAAAAACATTACAATACATTCAAAACAGATTTCACAACATATTAAGTGTATTTCCTCAGGCCTCTACTCTACTACCACATATCTATAACACAAAATCCATGTGTACATGTGTGTATAGTGCGTATGTTATCTTGTGTTTGCATCCATGTGTTTATGTTTGTGTTGCTTCACAGTCCCCGCTGTTCTATAAGGTGTATTTTTACCTGTTTTTAAAAATCAGATTCTACTGCTTGCATCAGTTACCTGATGTGGAATAGAGTTCCATGTAGCCATGGCTCTATGTAGTACTATGTGCCTCCCATAGTCTGTTCTGGACTTGGGGACTGTGAAGAGACCTCTGGTGGCATGTCTTGTGGGGTATGCATGGGTGTCCGAGCTGTGTGCCAGTATTCCAAACAGACACCTCTTACAAAAACAAGCAGTGATGAAGTCAATCTCTCTTCCACTCTGAGCCAGGAGAGACTGACATGCATGTCATTAATGTTAGCTCTCCGTGTACATTTAAGTGCCAGCCGTGCTGCCCTGTTCTGAGCCAACTGCAATTTTCCCAAGTCCCTCTTTGTGGCACCTGACCACACTACTGAACAGTAGTCTAGGTGCAACAAAACTAGGGCCTGTAGGACCTGCCTTGTTCATAGTGTTGTTAAGAAGGCAGAGCAGCGCTTAATTATGGACGTACTTCTCCCCATCTTAGCTACTGTTGTATCAATATGCTTTGACCATGACAGTCTACAATCCAGGGTTACTCCAAGCAATTTAGTCACCTCAACTTGCTCAATTTCCACATTATTCATTACGAGATGTAGTTGAGGTTTAGGGTTTAGTGAATGATTTAACCCAAATACAATGCTTTTAGTTTTGGAAATATTCAGGACTAACTTATTCCTTGCCACCCATTCTGAAACTAACTGCAACTCTTTGTTAAGTGTTGCAGTAATTTCAGTTGCTGTAGTAGCTGACGTGTATAGTGTTGAGTCATCCGCATACATAGACACACTGGCTTTACTCAAAGCCAGTGGCATGTCGTTAGTAAAAATTGAAAAAAGCAAGCGGCCTAGACAGCTGCCCTGGGGAATTCCTAATTCTACCAGGATTATGTTTGAGAGGCTTCCATTAAAGAACACCCTCTGTGTTCTGTTAGACAAGTAACTCTTTATCCACATTATAGCAGGGGGTGTAAAGCCATAACACATACGTTTTTCCAGCAGCAGACTATGATCGATAATGTCAAAAGCTGCACTGAAGTCTAACAAAACAGCCCCCACAATCTTTTTATCATCAATTTCTCTCAGCCAGTCATCAGTCATTTGTGTAAGTGCTGTGCTTGTTGAATGTCCTTCTCTTAAGCATGCTGAAAGTTTGTTGTCAATTTGCTTACAGTAAAATAGCATTGTATCTGGTCAATACCATTTTTTCCAATCGTTTACTAAGGGTTGGTAACAGGCTAATTGGTCGGCTGTTTGAGCCAGTAAAGGGGGCTTTACTATTCTTAGGTAGCGGAATGACTTTTGCTTCCCTCCAAGCCTGGGGGCACACACATTCTAGTAGGCTTAAATTGAAAATATGGCAAATAGGAGTGGCAATATCGTCCGCTATTATCCTCAACAATTTTCCATCCAAGTTGTCAGACCCCAGTGGCTTGTCATTGTTAATAGACAACAATAATTTGTTCACCTCTTCCACACTCACTTACTGAGTAAAAGGTCTGAATACTTATGTAAATGTGGTTTTTCAGTTTATTAAATAAAAACCTGTTTTTACTTTGTCATTATGGGGTATTGTGTGTAGATTGATGAGGATTTTTATTTATTTAATCCATTTTAGAATAAGGCTGTAACGTAACAACGTGCAAAATGGGATCGGGTCTGAATACTTTCCGAATACATTGTATGTCATCTCACCTGTTTCCTCTCTGGTGTGTGAGCCCATGAGGGATGTGACTGTTTGTGAGGTACATGGAGTGTGTTGCTGTGTGGCTGTACAAGCTCTACCCTGCGCCTTCTGATGACAAAACAAGACTATAAATACTGTAGGAGAAGTTCTGGTTTGAGCCCAGAGCCTGACCAAATATAATGAATTACTCCTTTACGAGGACCTTCCTGTAAACTAGTCAAACTACTACCACCACCACTACCACTACTATTGTCACTACTACTACTACTACTACTACTACTTCTACTACTACTACCACAACCACCACTACTACCACTACCACCACCACTACTATTATTACCACTACTACTACTAGCACCACCACCACTTCTACCACTACTATTATTATCACCACCACTACTACCACTACTATTATCACCATCACTACTACTACTACTACTACTACCACTACTATTACTACTACTACTACTACTACTACTATTATCACCACTACTACTACTACTACTACTACTACTACTATCACTACTACTACTACTACTACCACTACAATTATCACCATCACTACTACTACTACTACTACTATTATCACCACTACTACCGCTACTACTACCACTACCACTACCACTACTACTACTCCTGTAGCTGTACCACTATTATAAACATTAAGGATGATATCGCAACAGTTGTAACTTGATAGTATGTAGTGTTCAAACTCCCTTGTGAATGTGTGTATGTGTATTGTGTAACAGTGGGGGTCATATGGGCGGCAGATGGGGTCCAGTCCAGACCTGCCCTCCCTCTCAGCCGAAACCTGCTAGACTAGGCCCTTGCCCCACCCTCCCAGCACAGCACAGCACTGTAGCTAAACACAGCCCAGCATACGGTCGCCATTTTTTTGTTCTGTCTACCTACTCACTGCTTCACTGGGACCAAGCCTTATAGTTAGCAAGCCAGCTGCACCTGGACAGTCTAAGCAACTGTAGACCAGTGCTTCTCAGTTGACTTTATTGCTTTATAGCTACATTTTATTACTTGACTAGATAAGTCATATTTGAATATCTCCTTTACTATGGATTTCCATAACAAACAAGTTGAATAATTCACAGCTTAAAGCGGTACTCAGTCACGTCTCTCCAAAGAAAAACAGGAAACCCCCTGTAGGGACCACCATCATGGGTCTTGCAGTTCTCCTAACTGGAGCAGCTGCTGCTCACTCTGACAGACCTGTCACCTCACATCAACACTGAGACTGTGCCTCACTCCCTCACAATACACTCAATACTATACTGTATACTACAGTACTGTCTGCTCCCTCCACTTTCAAAGTGTGTAGTATCTTAGCTAGCTATGAACATGCCTGCCCCTGGGTCTAATCTGGTTTGATGACCTAATCAATTTACCTTTTCAACTTTAGACACCTCTTTCATACTATTAAAGGCACATTTAGTGTGTGTGTGTGACCCTCATGTCAGCGGGGCCATGGCTGTGTGTTATAAATAAAACAGCCCTCACCCTGACTTGCTGCAATGCTAAGAGGTCCTCTCTCCTTTTATGGCTGCTAGCCTGCTACCTGATCCCTGTTGGTGGTGGGGGTGTTTCTATCCGGAGGCACCACACCACACTCAGTCTAAATTACATATTATAAAGTAATTGATGGCCTCCGTGGGGACATCTGACATTTTGTGTAACTGCACTGTGTGTGTAGCTGCCATGTTTAACACAGTGAATGGATGTAGGTGGCTGCTGTACTGTAATTATCAGCAGTTGTACTGCAGACAATGCCCAAGGCTACAAGTGAACTGCCTCCCACAACAGTAACTAACTAGTCTAGGCTATGTGGTTTATGAACTCACCAATCATGCCTTCTATTGGTACATACAGTTCACAGCAGGCAGCAGCAATGGAAGCACCCCATAGGGACCAAATTCATAATTGGGACTGAATGTGTTTAATGAAGTGTTTGCATTCAACTCAATGTAAGTCAGTCATCGTCTTCTGTTTTCCAGATGTGCACTCCAAGGAACACCCCAGCCACACCACCTAACTTCCCCGACACCATTACCATGTTCTCCAAGCTGAGGGCGTCAGACTGCTCGGGGAGCTCCGGAGGCGGAGGTCCCACCCAGGTGTCCATGGCCTGCTCCCCCCCCTCCTCCACAGCTGGCTTCGGATCCTTCTGGGCCTCATCACCCCCCAACCACCAGCCCGTCTGGCTGCCCCCCTCCTCGCCCACAGGCCACCACATGCACCACTACCAGCACCACCACCACCACATGCACCAGACCCCCATGTGGCCCCCTGTGTCCCAGCCCGGCAGTGCCCAGCAGACCCCTGTTGTATCGGCCCTGCATGGCCAGAGATGAGACTCTACCCAGGGTTTGGGAGGGAGGGAGCGGGGCTGGGGAGGGAGGATAGGGTGGGGCTATGTGTAGCCTAATGAATCTACTAGGGGGTTTGGGTAGGTAAAGAGGTGGTGTGTCAGGATTAAAGGGTCTTGAGGGCCAAGGGGAAAAGACACGGTACTGTTGTTTTTCCTTCCTTTCTGTTTTTCTAAAATGACGATGAACAATGTCTCCTTTGGAGGACGTCCATTTGCTCTCTCTCTCTCTTCATCGTAACTCATCAAAGCCTGGGAAGAACCGGGGGAGAACCACTAATAACAATATGAGGAAGTGGAATAACGAAGGGGGTGGACTCTGAACCCCCCCCCAAAACGACTCTGGGAAATACAGTTTTCTTCATCAGTGCAAGTCAAGCCCTGGACCCAGCAGAGCACTTACTTAGGATAGGAGCCATGTGATCTGCTAAAGTGCTTGGTCATTGGCTGTTTTTAGAAACTCTTCTCTCCCTTGGGGTTCAATAACGCTCCAGCGATGTGACCAGATTTCGCAATAATCAGCAGACAAAAACAAAATGGGACTGCAACACATATGGTGGTTTACGGTTTTGTGTTCTTGGCTGACCTCATGGCCCTGAATTTTTTTTTTTTCAATATTGTTTATGGTATGGGGATCTGTATAGTACAGATCATGGACAAACACTGTAGCCATTTTGTCAAGTTTCATGTAGCCATGTATCCCTTTTTAAAATGTCTATTTTGTAAGTACTATGTAGCTTAGTGAAACTTGACTCAGTGGCTCCACTACTTGCTCTTGTGTCTGAGAAGTGGGCTCTTCAGTATGTGTGGACTCTAAGGTTTGGGGGTTAAAGTGTGTCTGAAGACTGACCTTCATGTCAGAGGTGTTTTAAGGAGACATGTAAAGACACGTTAATACTGTAATTCAGTTTGTGTTGAGATACAGCAAAGTCTGCAATAATTTGAGGAAGATTGAAGCCAGTTAAAAGGCTGATGCATTTATATCGTTGTTTTTGGGAACATTTTCTACCTGTGGATGTCAAAGGAAATTGACGTTGTTACCAGGGATAAATAATGTCAGGTTTGATGTCTAAAAGGTATTGCTTGGAGGCTCTGCAAGAAATCTTTTTTTTTGGTGTTGCGACTTTCCACATCCACCCCATTTTAACAAGGAGGCGTGAATCAACTTTATTTTGTTTGATCATGCAAACTGGTTTTTCAGTGGCAATTATGGAAACATCTTCTGAACTCCATTGTAAATAAAGGCTCAGCAGAAACAAAGTGCAAAAACGTCAAACTCCATAACCTGGCTGGGGACGAGATTGAGATCTCAGTTATGCTGTCAACACTCAAGTTAATCTGGTTTGCAAATGTTTTGACAAACATAGATGTGTGTGAGCCACCAGTAGGCTATTTCTTCAGGTTTCTATGGGGGGGGGGTAGAGGCCCACAGTGATTTTTCTACACAACCTCTAGCAGAAGATCAACTTCTCCTACCTCTGGTTTAATGGGAGAGGAGAGGCCTTATGTATTCCCTACAGAAACAGTCGTGTTCAATGGGTCAGATTAGCAGAATTTCTCCTAGTGCTCAAAACGTGTGAAATTCCCTCTGTTAGAATAGTGCAATTACTTGATTGACTGATGATGAAATGAGTGTCAACTATAGAATTATGAATTTAGTACGGGTTGCAAATATTTACTAAATGATTGTTCAGGCAATGTTTACATATTATGAGAGTCAGTGTAATGATGAACAATGACCTTGATGCCTCATAACCCAGAGTATTACTTATAGGTGAGCTCTTCATACAATAGCCCACGTCAGAACATTTGCAAATCTATCAATGATGACAGATGGAAAGGTAGCCATTTTCACAATCGTTCTCATATTATAATTATCACAATAAAGACGTAAATGTAAATGTAAAGGGAGGTCTGAGCAGGTTGCAGTTGTATACAGAGGGTACTTTATCTGAAATAATGTCACATTCATTCATGCCCTCACTAAATGATGTTTTATATTATGCCTGCCACGTCTTCACTCAGACAATCACAATCATATTCACATGTTATTTTTTCCCCTCTGGTTGAATATATGTAAAGTCACATTTGTCAAGCTGTTACCTTGTGGGGATGATTGTATAATGTACAACATGGACAGTCATGTAACATTGGACAGATGCCACCTGGCCAATATGGACCCTTGTCAATGTTACCAGACAGAAGGGACACTGCTCCACTGTGCTGCCATGTAGTCTGTTCTGGTTCTAAATCCATGGATCTTTTCAGATGGATATTAGAAACTCAACTGTGGTTCCTCTTGGGGTGTTCATAACACCACCTCATTCATTAACTCATGTGTTCTAGTTAGGGGGTACATTTTGTTGTCAACTGCATGAATTTTGGTTGATGATTTTCCAGTTCTGTGTTTTAACAAGGTGGGAGTGGGTTGGCCCCATAATGAGTGTTTCCTGCTGTGTGGATTACTGGCTCCTCCTCCTCAGTACTGTTGTGGTAACTAACACACCCAGACCCAGTAGTCTTGGGTGAGTATGGTTCTTGTGGTGATGTGACCCGGACTCCATTCTCCTGCTACAGCTTTGGAATTTATCAACATCTTTTTATAAGGCTCTCATAAGTCTCGGCCAACGACAGATTGGTCCCCCATGATATCTGTACAAACTGGGTGTTATGAAATGTTCTAACCTCATGTTCACCCATACAAGATGTGCAGAATGCGTGATGGAAATCCTAAAACAAGTCAAACACCAACCAATTGGCAGCGCACTTCAGTAACACATAACTTCTCATGGACCCTCATTTACAGCTCTCTAATCCGGCTCTTTTATAAAGATATTTCTCTCCTGTACTTTGTGTTTCTTTCCCCTGTTGAAATGTATATTTATATGTTTAATAAAATAAGGTATGATCTGCTAACTGTTGGAGTTGTTCTGGGGTCTTTTTTTTGCTAATAATTATTTTTGCGTTTTTATGAAATATGGTTGCTAAGGCAACAGACAAATTAGAACACATCACAGTAGTAACTTTGCTCTTTGAGATATTTTCTGTAAGGGAACCCCCTCAGTAATGATGACATTGCATAATACTATAGTAATCTATATATCCCTATAAGTAGTGTCTCTATAGTACAAAGGAACAAGTAGGCCTATATAAGAGAGACAATAAACACACAGAGTTGCAGTTCATTGAGGAAGGATGTGGTTAGAACTGTGCATTCCAGCCCAGTTAATGTGTTAAGTGTGTGAAACTGACGTGTGTCATAACAGCGTGGCTCACAAAATGTGCCTTCAGTCGAATTACATGCATGTGATGGTGGAGTCGTGTAAAACAGTACAGATATATTTAGGTACCACAAGTAACATTCATTGCAGACAGTCAATGAGGAGTCAAAATATGTTCACATAACAGTTATGTGGACATCATATATGACATCACATATTCCATGAAGGCCCATTTATCCTTGAAAACAAAGATACATCTACCAATGGAAATCTTACATTCAGATTAACTGCCTGTCTTAAATACTCTCCTGAAATACTTTTCAGTAGCATCTTTACATTTACATTTTACATTTTAGTCATTTAGCAGACGCTCTTATCCAGAGCGACTTACAGTTAGTGAGTGCATACATTTGCATACTGGCCCCCCGTGGGAATCGAACCCACAACCCTGGCTTTGCAAATACCATGCTCTACCAACTGAGCTACACTTGACTCCTGAATACATCCAAATGCTATAAAAGGGATCACTTAGCCTCAGTGGCCAGTTTATTAGGTACTCATTCACGAGTCAGGTGGCCGTGGCTTGCTATATAAAGCAGGCAGACAGGCATCGAGGCATTCAGTTACTGTTCAAATTAACGTTAGAATGGGCAAAATGAGTGACCTAAGCGACTGAGCGTGGTATGATCGTCGGTCCTAGGAGCGCCGGTTCCAGTATCTCAGAAACGGCTGGCCTCCTGGGCTTTTCACGCACGACAGTGTCTAGAATTTACAGAGAATGGTGGGACAAACAAAAAACATCCAGTCAGCGGCAGTCCTGGGGGCGGAAACAGCTCGTTGATGAGAGGTCGAAGAAGAATGCAAGAATCGTGCAAGCGGGCCACAAACAGGCAAATAATGGCGCAGTACAACAGTTGTGTGCAGAACGGCATCTCAGAACGCACAACTCGTCGGTCCTTGTCACGGATGGGCTATTGCAGCAGACGACCACACCAGGTTCACTCCTATCAGCGAAAAACAAGAAGAAGCGGCTCCAGTGGGAAAGCGATCACCAAGACTGGACAATTGAGGAGTGGAAAAACATTGCCTGGTCCGACGAATCCCGGTTCCTGTTGCATCATGCTGATGGCAGAGTCAGGATTTGGCGTAAGCAGCATGAGTCCATGGCCCCATCCTGCCTGCTGTCAACGGTACAGGCTGGTGGCTGGGATGTAATGGTGTGTTCCTGGCAAAGTTAGGTCCCTTGATACCAATTGAGCAATGTTTCCATGCCCCGAAGAATTCCGGCTGTTCTGGAGCCAAAAGGAGGTCTGACCCGGTACTAGATAAACTGGCCACTGAGTGTATATTGCATGGATAGAGATAAATATACATCATATTTCTCATTGACACTAAATTGTCTCATTAGTGTAAGCAAAGCCCCTGCTTCTTGACAGTACAGTTTGTCCTTTCAAGTTTATTAATTCATATCCTGCCCTACATTCACACAGGCTTTTTGAACTGTGTCCTCCCCCCATGCAACACCCCGGCCCAGACAACTGCAGTAGAGTGCTGAAATGGCGCTACGCTAAAAGTATGCTATGATACCAATGCTGTGCCATGGTTAAAAATACTACGCTATGCCACAGAGTGAGGCACACATAGCTAACCCCCTTGTTTAAAACACACAGACACCAGGAGACTCCTGTAACTGGACATAGGCATGGTGACATTTGAAGGGAACGCCATCTGGGCCGGTTTTACGACCCTGGCTGCTTTGCTTCCCCAATAGATGCAGGTGGCTGGATACCATTGTTATAACTCCACGACAGGATTACATTTTTGTGGTAATGACAGCACGCATTAATGTCTTTCCTCTTAACATGTGATGGAACAACTTGAGACACTAATACAATGAGTTAAATGTTACAGAAATAGGGTTTGTCAGAGGGAAGACATTTCAAGCCGTTAATGATACCGCTCTATAAGACCCTATATGTCAAATGAATTGCTCCATGGCGGTATTCTTCTGCATCCAAACAAAGTCTGGTATTTGAGGTCACCGGTCTGAAAGTTTCTCTATGAATGTCATTGAAAATCAGGCATCATAAACCAAAATCGTAATGTAGCCACACATGAGGTATCTGACCTGTAAAGCTACACTTTAGAAATGTTTTTATTCTTGCAGAATACTCATAGCTATTTTGTTGCATGGAAACAGTGTTCATATGTCCCAGAATTGTGTTCTTCCAATCCATAAATAACCTAACTGACTAATATCAGACTGGATTTTCACAAGGTCTGTATGCTCCATTACAAAATGGAGACCAGGATACCCTCCTGCTGCTGCTGTAAAACGGTTTATTAAAATAAGGTAGAAAAAGGATGTAAGGGGCTCTCCATCGCCCCCTACAGGGTGGTGACGGGCTCTTCCTCCGACTGGCTCAGGTCTACGTGAAGCTCCAGACCTTGCTGCTCCTGCTGCAGCTCGCTGGTGGTGTCAGCATGGGACGAGCTCTGGGGAAGGGTAGCCTGGGACAGGCAGCCCAAAGAGGACATGGGCCGGTCCCGCACAGAGCTGCCTGAGGCTGGGGGAGAGAAAGGGAGGAAGGGAGGCAAGGGGGAAAGGTCAGGGGTCAGGTGTCTGCTACAATCAACCTTAACAGCTGCACAGCAGCAATAGCAAAGAAGAATGCTATTTCCATGTGAGTATTCACTTTTCCAGTTAGTGAAATTGGTTTTTATGTTGTAAATGGGTAATGACGCTGGTGTGAGCTACCTGAGCGGCTGCGCTGGGTCTTGGCACTCTGGGGACGCACAGGGGTCACACAGGCCGGCTCTGTGCAACCAGACTTCTGGAACTGGGAGCGCATGACCTTGTCTTTGCTCTTGCACATGCCTGCAGTCATCAAAACAACAATGTCACATCGCGCCTTGACATGGGAATGACAGGACCCCACCACACCCATAGCCGTACTGTACATACACACCCATACCAGACATACACCACATAAGCCCTTCTTCCAAGTCTTGACCAAAATACTCTTTCAATACTATTTCGACTCATTCAATGGTCTCATAAATTACTGGGAATCACAACACCAAATCACAGGCATAAAACAGGACAGCACAATTCCCTCTTTCTTCCTACAGGGCTTGATTTCTATGAACAGATGAAAAGGATATTAAGATAGAAACGATGTAATGCAAGCAGCGTTACCCCAGGTCCAGTTATATTTACAGTCCGTCACAGACACCAGGCCTGCTCTTCTATAACATAGTAACATTGGGTTCTTTCCAGTGTGGACCACTATGCCAACCAGAGCCCCTCCCCCAACCCCAGTGCAGCCCATTCTTATTGCTAACTCACTTCCTTAACCCCGGGAGGAACACCACACTACTATTTAAACCCTCCTAAAATACTCCCTCCCATAAACTAAGCTCCTCTCTCCTTCCCTAAATCTCCTCACCTCGTCCTCCTCCACACCTTCGTTCCTAATCCTTCATCACACCACTCTAACACCATACTGTATCCCTCCTCAAATTCTCATTCCCAAACAAAAGCCCACTTTCTTTCTCAACCCACCCCCACTTTTCAGCCTCCTCCCCCCCTTCTCTCCTGACCCTCCACCTCCCACTTCCCCATGATGTCACCCCTCACTCTTCCTCCCCACACTTTACTCTTTATCCCTGCACTGAGAGCCCAACTCTGGACACATTGTCCAGGGACCGAGAGAGAGGAAATAGGCCAAGGGTAGTTGGGGCCTGGACAGATGGCGCAGTGTGATCATCATCTTAAGATGCATTGTGTAACTGGGCCCAGGGGAAGTGTACTTCACTGTCCATGAGGAGTCCATATGGGCTGTCAGAACTGGAGTCTGGACATCACCCCTCTCCCAGCCCCGGACAGCTACCCACAGCATGCAGACATGTCAGACTCAACATTAGGTCACTTTTTGGAGCGATGGCATTAAAAAAGTTTGCTTGAATTGAGTAACATGAATTAATTACTCTAGCTTTTGTTCACAATTGTCCAGATTCCATTTCCTTTTCTATACATGTAATTCCACTCTAAAAATACACAGTACTGTAGAGTAGAGCTTAATATAATCCCAGTCCAGGGAACCCTGTACCGTCTTTAGGAAAGATGGTGGGTAGTCTGGCATCCACAGTCTTGACCGATCTGGTTTTCAGGCGGCCCTTGTAGATGTGTCCGTCCAATCCCAAGATGTCCACCTCCTCCGGCTGACCAATAGGCACAAGGACAAGGTCAAATATTTGCACACCTAACAACTGTCAAATACACCTCAAATATACTCTGTACATCAACATTATGACTTGTATAAATGGCTAAACAAACATGTGATTGACCAGGTGTATTCCTATGGGCTGGCAGTGGTTTAGTTGTCTGTCAGTACAGTAACCCACAGTAAGTGAGGTTGGTCTCACTCACCTGAATACGCAGTGTGGATCTGGAGATGGGCGGTGTCTCCTCCTCAGCCTGGATGAAGTGGCTGATGTGCTGCAGGCGGGTGTAGCGGCGGTTGGGGTAGGTCACGGTGTGGCTGCCTCCACAGCTCCGGGACATGGCCAGGTAACTGTAGTCCGCCATCTCAGGGATGCGCTCGCTAGGATGGACACTGGAGTGGAGGTTGAAGGTCGGAAGATAAACACTTCTAGAGGTTTGTAACAGAACTGACAGTACAGTATTTATAGTTTGTAGTTACTTTGGGGCACCTTGCCTCCCTGACCCTTCTCTAAACCATAACAAAGCAATATGAACAACTTTTTGGCCCTTCCCCTGTTTCAATGCATGTGCTCCCTGCTTCCCTGCCTACCCCTGACCTGACAGACTGACTCACTGCTTGGGCAGACTCTGGCTGGTCCTCTGCAGCGGGCTCAGGATGTGTGGATAGCGGGAGGGCCCGATCTCCCTTAGGGCTCCCTGGCTGTAGGTTCGCTCTGGGCCAGCTAGTTGGCTGCACTCTCTCTATCTGCCTACACATCATGGTGTTGATCCTCTGCACCTGCATCATGGCCCTTTCGGAGCTGGCCATCTCAAAGTGGCCGTGGTTGGTCCCTGGCCTCAGGCTGAGATGGAGGGAGAGCTGGCTAATGTCAGACACTTATAACTATGGAACACTCCTGACAGATCTAGTGTGGGTGTTCGGTCTTTGGAGGTAAGATAAAGTTATATTGGGACTCTGGCACCCCCTGCTGGTTAAGATGGGGCCAAGTAAGAGTTTCAGTTGTGATGTTTGACTGAGATGTATAGTAGTATGACTGTCTGCTCTCACCTTCTGCAGTGCTGGCGAACCTGCTCAAGCTCATAGATGGTGTACGGTCGGTTGGACTTGTGGGAGGGTAGGCCAGGAGTGGAGGGCACGGTGACCAAGTGCCTGTTGTCAAGTAGAGAGAGAGAGAGAAAAAAGAAAGATAGGTGAAAGAGCAGCACCACAATCCTATTATTTCAATTTCCACAATGTCTATTTGTACTGTATAAAAATAGGACATTATTATCATTCCCTTACGGTCCTGGGGTAAGCATATCGACCGGGCGGTCGCAGGAGATGCAGTGGAACCTTGCCACAAGTTGTCTATGAAAGGGACATAACAAAGAAAAATCAAAACCAAAGTTTATTGGTCGCATACACAGCTGTTATAGCAGGTGCAGCGAAATGCTGATGTTTCTAGCTCCAATAGTGCAGTAGCATGTCTTGCAAATACAATACAAATACACAAATAATCAAGAAATCAAGAAATGACAGAAGGAGTCCAATAAACAATCCAGAGTAGATATATCAGAGTGAGCACGTGTCAGAATCCAGAATATAAATACGTGGTGTGTATAGACAGTAAATCATTTGGAAGGAAAATGGTATGTACAATAGTAGGTATATTAGGATGAGATATGTCCAGAATACAGTATATACATACACAGTGAGTAAACAACAGTATTAAAATAGAATATAGAATATAGACAGAGATAAAATATAGAATATAGACAGAGATAAAATATAGAATATAGACAGAGATAAAATATAGAATATAGACAGAGATAAAATATAGAATATAGACAGAGATAAAATATAGAATATAGACAGAGATAAAATATAGAATATAGACAGAGATAAAATGAACGTTAAACACAGGAAGACAATGAAGGCATGATCATGTATAACTCCATAGAGGAACCTGGACCTATCCAGCCATCATCCCTCCTGGGCCTGGCTGTGACCAGTGACTTACCTCCTGATGCCTGCAGCGTCATCCTCCTTCGGGGCAGGCTGGGCCTGCAGCTGCTTACGGATGCTCTTCCAGCGGTCCTCTAGCTGCTTCTTCACAGGATCCAGCTCAATCCGGTCCAGCTACACAGAGAGATAACAGATTTACTACAGGGATCCCAGAGACATACACTACCACCAGACACTCCAGACAGACATTCCATAAGACTTTATCAAACAATGCTATGTCACTATAAACACGTTCGTAAAACACTTAAAAACTTGTGACATACAGACTCGTGAGATATATGAAATGGTGATAGCATAGTAATAACAGCAGAGCATGGCGTGTATCAATGGACATGTAGGCTTATTATATAAACATCCATCTAGCAGGGTAACTTCCAGCTCAGTCCCACCTTGCACTCCATCTCGGTGGAGATTTTGTCGATGATTTTGTGCCAGTCCTGCTCCTGGCCGGTGATCTTGCTGAGCAGCTCCTGGAACATGGTGTTGAGCTCCTCTGTCATGGAATCAAACTGCATGCGGCTCACCTTGGTCTCCAGGGCACGCTTGTCTGCTTTCTACAGGGAGAGAGGAGATGCAGTCAGGGCAATGGCAGTACTAGTGTGGGCTTTTAAGGGTTAGGTGAAATCTGTATGGGCTTGTAAGGGTTAGGTGAAATCTGCATGGGCTTGTAAGGGTTAGGTGAAACCTGTATGGGCTTGTAAGGGTTAGGTGAAATCTGCATGGGCTTGTAAGGGTTAGGTGAAACCTGTATGAGCTTGTAGGTGTATGGACACATATGTGCTTGTGGTGACTTGTATGGCCTCGGTAGGGTTTAGCATGGGCTTGTACAGGTGAACTTGAGCATGTTGGGATTTGTAGGTACCCCTATGGTCTTGAATGGACTTGTGGAAGCTTGTCTAGACTAACATAAACATGTGAAGACTTGCGAGAGTTCACCTGAGTTGAGTAAAAGACACTGAAGGAAAGCTAAACTATGTTGTGGTAAGACACTCACGATTTCAATCTCCATCTCCACAAGATCTTTGTCAGCTTTCTTCTCGTCCAGTTCTTCCATGGACTTGTACAGATGCTGTGAAAGAAAGACATTATTGAGAATCATCTTTCTGTGGATTGGAACAGAAGAACAGCATGGAGCCGCTCCTATTCCCCTATGGGCCTCCCTGTGCTGCGGCCCTCCCTCCCAGACTCACGTCGATGTGGACCTGTTTCTGGCTCTGCTCCTCAATCAGGTGGTTGGCTGTGCTGTGGAGCTTCTCACACTCAGCCTGCAGCTGCAGGATGGCTCCCTGAACGTCATTCATCAGCTCCGAGCTCTGGCAGAAACAACACAGAGAGACAGGGTTCTACATCTGTAATACACAGCCATGGCCCCAGTGCCATGGAGCGCACTGACACTGACACACTCCTTTCCCTTAACACCTCTCTGAACACACTGCTGCCCTGATAGAGCATCGCTTACATATCATCTCAAAACGTATCCCTCCCTCAGGGTTCAACATAACAGACCCATTATTTAACCCTTTCCTATTCTGTTTCCTCCTCTGTCCCTGCCTACAGTACCTCTGCTCTAGGTCCGCCTCCTCCCTGCTGATTCATAAAGCTGCTAACCAGGCCCTGCAGATTCTCATAGCGCTGGAACAGCTGGCTGACCTTCCTGCTCATGTCTACAGAGCAGGAGGGGCATGTGGAGCCCTGCTGCCCGCCTGCCTGACTGCTGCCCTGGCCCTGCTCTGGCCCCTGCTGGAGGCTCTGGGAGAGCAGCGAGGAGGAGGACGCCATCATGTCCTCAAGCATGCCTCGCAGGTTGTCCATCTGGGGTGAGAGGGCTGTGTGAGGGCCATGTTGGGGCCACAAGCGGTCGCTAGCTACTACATTATGGATGGTGCTGTTTCAGCTATATTCTACAGTTGAATGTTTCACAGAGTACCCTGGTGTTTAGACCTGACAGTGTATTCAAATGTCTATATGCTCTGAAATATGTCTGTCTGTCTGTCTGTCTAACCTGATTCTGTAGCTGTCTGTCTTTCTTGGTCTTCTGCTCAGCCTTGGCTGAGGTGTTCTCAGTTTTCAGCAGTAGCACCTCCTCCTCCACTTTCTGCACTGCGTTCCTGAACACAGAGAGGAGCACCAGGCCATGAGGAGCAGGCCACCACCTCTCTTACAATGGAAAACTATCACATCTCAACTTCCATAAAACTTCAAACTACTTACAAATTACTTAGACTACCAAACTATATCAAATGTAGTATCCATAAAAAACTATCTATAATTATATTTAGCCTTCCTGTGTGCTCCTGTGTCCTTGTTTACCTGAGGTATAATATCTGCAGTCTGAGCTGTCCTTGCTGAGCAGAGTTAGAGGAGTCCTCACTGTCTGACCCTTTGGCCATTCCTGAGCCTCCCTCTGAGTCCTGAACTGTCCCTATGTTCAGAATCAGCTGCTCCAGTTCTCCCAGCTACAACAGGGACATGGGGCCATCAACAATGTGTGTGTGTGTGTGTGTGTGTGTGTGTGTGTGTACATCTTCCTCCCTCACCTTGGCTCTGTCACCCACCAGGCTGTCTACCAGAACTCTCAGATGATTCAGTTGATCCATCAGGTTTTCGGGCACATCCCTGTCACCTACACATTCAGGGAAAAAAATGGTCATCCCCCACAAAATACATCATTCAGTAAAAGAAAACATAGAATAGCCATACACTATCCAGTCCCCACATTGCTATCTTACCCATGTCAGTGAGGAGCTCCCGGAGGTGCTGGAGCTGGGCCTGGTCGGCCTTGCCTGCTTCCAGCAGCTCTACTCTGGTCTCCAGGGTGTTGTGTCTCTCCCTGAGCCTGCCCACGTCCCTCAGGGCCTCCACTGTTTCTGGGTAACGCTCTGCCCCGCTGGCCACACGAGACAGGGGTTTACTGCGCACCATCAGAGCTCCATCAGAGAGGGACTGCTGGGGAAGCACCCCCCCATGCTGGATGCCAGTGACAGTGCCAGTGCCAGTGCCAGGAGTGAAGGCAGCAGCTCCATCAGAGAGGGACTGCTGGGGCAAGCACCCCTCAGGCTGGAGCAGCTCCATCAGAGAGGAACTGCTGGGGCAGTGCTCCTCCATGCTGGCTGGCAGTGACAGTGCTAGGAGTGAAGGTAGCAGCTCCAGTGTTGGCATTAGCAGAGGCGCTGAAAGGAGTGATGGTGGTCATGACCACTGAAGTGGGGCCAGCGACAGGGACTGAGTCCCTGATTTCCTATTGGAGAAATAGCTACCATCAACACAAAGCTCATATCTATTCCTCGGTCTTGTATATGATTGCTTGATAAAGGACTCTCGCTCTTTTGAGCAAGACATAAGACATGCCTTTTGCAGATTCTGTTGCTTGCTAACCAAGGTGGTCTGCAAGATGTCCCAGGTCACACACTGGATGAGCTCGTCTGGGTCTGGGTAACGTCCAACTCTGTCCTGCAGCTCTTTCTGTGATAGAGAGAAGACAAGAAAGAGGGGAAGTCCTGATTAACCTCTATTTACTAGAGTTAGCTACAACAGTACTATACTATTGTTTGGCTCCTCTTAGCAATGTAGTATATCATTTCTGAGCTCGGAAAGTAGTCTACTCAGTTCCAACTCACGGTGGCAGAGTCCAGGTTGTCCAGTCGGTGGCAGTACTGCTCCACTTTGTTGATTCTGTCAACCAGCTCACTCATGTTCAGCTGGAACACAAAGAACACCCAGAGCAACGTCATGCTACCAGATGGAAACAGATATGTAGGATGATCCCTATCATCCTCGCTCTATTGTTGGGGTGAGTGACAGGCCAGGTTGCCAGAGATAAGCTGTGGCTCTTTGATGCTGTTGCCCTCTGTATGACTCCATGTCCCCTACAGAGAGTGATGGAGGGAGGGAGGGGACCAGGGCCAGGGTGGATCGGGCTCTACATGACGCTATATTTCACCAATGTGTGGGGTGGTGAGATGGAGAAGGATTCCTTAGTGATGAGCACTGGGTGTATCCCCTACTGTAGGTTAATGAGGGAGATAAGCAAGGTTGCCAGATGTTGTCTACCTGCAATCCCTCCTCGCTATGAGGGTTTGCCAGTGTGGATGTGTGTCTGACCTGGTCGAGTTGGTTCTGGAGGCTCTTGACCGCTTTCTTCAGGTCGTCTCTGGACTCCTTCAGGTCCTGGATCTCCTTCAGCAGATCCTGGATCAGCGACATAGACTGGAAACACAACAGAGTATGTTTGAAAGACTCAAAGCTCAAAGAACCTCACATTACTGGTCAGATCATTTAACACAATCATTATATTTTGTCAGTTTCTGTTATGATGACTGAATCGTAGGCTATAAAAATAAAGAGAGTCGCACACTCTATATACAGTTCATTCGGAAAGTATTCAGACCCCTTGACTTTTTCCACATTTTGTTGCGTTACAGCCTTATTCTAAAATGTATGAAATAACATGTTTCCTCATCAATCTACACACAATACCCCATAATGACAAACAAAAAAATTGATCATCCTTGAGATGTTTCTTGAGATGTTTCTACAACTTGATTGGAGTCCACCTGTGGTAAATTCACACACCTGTCCATATAAGGTCCCACAGTTGACACTGCATGTCAGAGCAAAAACCAAGTCATGAGGTCGAAGGAATTGACCGTAGAGCTCCGAGACAGGATTGTGTCGAGGCACAGATCTGGGGAAGGGTACCAAAAAATATCTGCAGCATTGAAGGTCCCCAAGAACACAGTGGCCTCCATCATTCTTAAATGGAAGAAGTTTGGAACCACCAAGACTCTTCCTAGAGCTGGCCGCCCGGCCAAACTGAGCAATCGGGGGAGAAGGGCCTTGATCAGGGAGGTGACCAAGAACCTGATGGTCACTCTGACAGAGCTCCAGAGTTCCTCTGTGGAGATGGGAGAACCTTCCAGAAGGACAACCATCTATGCAGCACTCCATCAATCAGGCCTTAAAGGTGCAGTGGCCAGATGGAAGCCACTCCTCAGTAAAAGCCCACTTGGAGTTTGCCAAAAGGCACCTAAAGGGCTCTCAGACCATGAGAAACAAGATTCTCTGGTCTTTTTTTTTACATTTTAGTCATTTAGCAGACGCTCTTATCCAGAGCAACTTACAGTTAGTGAGTGCATACATTTTCATACTGGCTACTTCCTTTGAAGATCAGTAGGAAGATCCTAAACCCCTTCATTTAGGAGGGATCCCAAAACCCCTCTCCATGGCTCCATCCAGTTGACCTTTCACCCCAATGGAGGTTCCTAGGACACCATCGTCCATATGCATTAGATGAGACACACAAGCTGTTACATAGCAGCAGTAGGACCTGTCTGTCTCCAGATAATCCATGTTTTTCAGAGTACATAACCCCTGCTCATATGGAACGACCACTTCTCTTTAACACAGCTGAAGCCTTGTTGACAGAGTAAACCCACACATTTACTCTGGGTGTTGCAAATTAGAAATAAGTTGTGTTTACTAAGCAAAGTTGAAACAGGTGGCTTTGAACGTATTGACCAGAGTTCCTGTGGGTTTTGTCAAATGCACCCAGACATGAAATGATGCATAGCCCCACTGAGCTGCACAGGTCGTCAACCAATTGGCTGAATAACTAACAGGTTGTTAAGTGAGCTGTAAACGTGGAAATGATTTATGACCTGCTTGTATGGAATTTCTGGAGGAGACCACCTTTTCAATGATCGCCTCAAGTATCTCAGAGACATGAGATTAGGCTAAACATGATCAAATCTTGTAGCAGGACATACACTAGAATATTCTAACCCGGCAACCAACCCAACCCCTAATGACAAACAGAGAGGCAATCAACTGTATTCGTCACATTTTGATGAGTGGGTCCAGGGTATGGTTAATTTCCTATGAGATTCCAATGACAGTTAAAAAGCTCAGTGTGGCTGATTGGACATATTGAGTATACAGGAAGTTATGATAATAGCCTACATCAGCAACAGTAGGCTAAATGTATGCATGGTCCTATTCCCTCAAAGGAGCTGGGCTCCCTAACCAGGGGACATCCCCAACCTTATCTTCCTCAGACACAATGTCCCTAGTCCTCTGTCTGTTTGTCTGTGTGGATGTTGTTTGGACAGAGTGCCCAACCTCCTTTCTGTTTCTGCCACAACATCTGGGTCAGCATCACCCACAAGTCTGTTGCCAATGGTAACAGACAGGACAACATAAATACAAGCCCCTTCTGACAACAAGCAACACTCTAGGGGTAGGGTTAGGATAGTAACTAACATAATAAACTTTTACTGTCCCAACAATAAGGAAGTTATTTGCGATTGGGAAGAAAGCCATCCGCTCTACCTCCCTGTTACTCTTTAGTCAGCCATTAACTGGCTCTGACTAAGATGGCCGGTGGCCTGGAATCCTTCCACGCCACTGTGAACACAGAGCGCCACTCAGGCAGACTTTTCGCTGCCCTCTCAGAGCCAGGACATGTACCCTGTGGGGTCACAGCGGAGCACACCTTTATCAACCACAACAATCCCCTGACAATCTCTGTCATGGGTTAAGAAGTGAGTGACCCTGGCTAAGGTATGCGGCAAATACAATATGCTGCTATGAGTTGTGAGACAGAAACTGACGGACATTGTGTCTTAGTGGGGGTCTTCAGGGATATGGCAGACAGGGCCAGAGAAGACCAATCAGGGCCAGCGAGGGCCAGACAGGGACAGACAGGGCCAGTGGATACTGTTATTGACCCACAGCAGACATGAATGATTCCAAGGATTTTCAAAGAGGCACCTTCGCCTGGACCCACTGGCTGTCCCTCCCTCATTTCACCTGAGTGTTATTCTTCCTCTGACAATTACAGTCATTTCTCTGCAGGAGACCAATTACACCTTATCTACCTGAGAGAGAGAGAGAGAGAGAGAGAGAGAGAGAGAGAGAGAGAGAGAGAGAGAGAGAGAGAGAGAGAGAGAGAGAGAGAGGAGAGAGAGAGAGAGAGAGAGAGAGAGAGGAGAGAGAGAAGAGAGAGAAGGAGAGAGAGAAAGGAGAGAGGAGAGAGAGAGGATGAGAGAGAGAGGAGTATGACCATATTAGAGACACATATTTCCCTCAGATTACAGCGATCCACAAAGAATTCGAAAACAAACCCAATATTGATAAACTCCCTTATCTACTGGGTGAAAAACCACAGTGTGCCATCACAGCTGCAAGATTTGTGTCCTGTTGCCACAAGAAAAGGGCAACCAGTGAAGAACGAACACCATTGTAAATACAACCCATATTTATGTTTATTTATTTTCCCATTTGTACTTTAACTATTATACATAATATGACATTTGAAATGTATTTATTCTTTTGAAACTTCTGAGTGTAATGTTTACTGTTAATATTGATTGTTTATTTCACTTTTGTTTACTATCTACTTCACTTGCTTTGGCAATGTTAACATACGTTTCCCATGCCAATAAAGCCCTTAAATTGAATTGAATTGAATTGAATTGAGAGAGGGGGGGATAACTGGGCAGGTCTGGGCAACATCAGTGAAGATAGCTAAGTCCTGTGCAATCTTTCGATCTTCCTACTTGCTTTATCAACACAGACTGTCATGTCTCGATCAGTGTCCATATTTCAAACTCAGACATTTCAGATAACAGCTGAGACACAGTTCAGAGTGTGGTATGAAGTACTGGACCGACACTGATTCTAAATTGTGTACACCACAGGAGGTTGGTGGCACCTTAATTGGGGAGGACGGGCTTATGGTAATGGCTGGAGCTGAATAGGTGGAATGGTTTCAAACACATGGAAACCATGTTTCACTCCGTTCCATTAATTCCATTCCAGCCATTACAATGAGCCGTCCTCCTATAGCTCCTCTCAGCAGCCTCCGCTGGTGTTCACATGCTCAGAGTGATCTGCACTACTCAGCTATTCCATTTTGTTACACAGCATACACAGGGACCACAAGAGTGGTGCTTATCTTTGGGGAGTGGCCTTTCCTTTGGAAACTGGAACAGAGACACAGCAAGGTCATTTGAGAAGAAAGTGCGCTGCCCATCACCTATTGTACTGTGCTCTGTCATCAATATCCTTATCCAGTGCTGAGTGCTCTGAAATGCTCACCATTCACCACACAGACAGGCCCCCAGCTGCGGGACAGGGCTCTGATGAGCAAGCACTCAAGGACTTAATACAGATGAGAGGGGCTGAATCACTTGCTAGCAGCATACCACCCTGCATTCCACTGCTGGCTTGCCTCTGAAACTAAGTAGTTGGTCCTGGTCGGTACCTGGATGGGAGACAGAATGCTGCTGGAAGGCCAGTAGGGGGTACTCTTCCCGCTGGTCTAAGGAGATCCCAATGCTCCAGGGCAGTGAAGGGGACATTGCCCTGCATAGGATGCTGTCTTTCAGTGTCTTGACTCTGTGGTCACTAAAGATCCCATGGCACTTATCATATGAGTAGGGGTGTTAACCCCGGTGTTGTGGCTAAATTCCCAATCTGGCCCTCATACCATCATGGCCACCTAATCATCCCTAGCTTCCAATTGGCTAATTCGCCCCCTCTCCTCCCCACTGTAACTCTTTCCCAGGTCATTGCTGTAAGATAATATGTTCTCAGTCAATTTACCTGCTAAAATATGGGTCAATAAATAAACCTCAGTCCAGACTCAAACATCTGTCACAAGATGGATGTGTAGTCTAGTGGAACTGTAATGTAATCCTATTTCTTGACTGTTATGGCCATTTTTCTATGACCACAAAATTATGTTTTGGGGCAGATTCCCCTAAATGATTTGGGGCCTATCTTATGACAAGCAAAATTGTGCATCACAGGCAAATCAAAGTTTCAACAAAGTTTGACAGTTGATCAAGGGAGGGAGCGCTGCCACAGCAGCAGCGTTCAACTTTCACCTGTCCTCGTATGACATTATTTCAATTTAAAATAAAATTATAACTCTGCGATATTAATAAATACATTTTGAGGAAGAGCCTGTCTCACCTTGGACACGCCGTCCTCACTTGCCTGAGCCTTGCGGCGGAGCTGCATCAACTGCCACATGTCGTTGACCGGTGTTGTGGTTGAGGCAGTGCGGCTCAGCAGATCTGTACCGCTAGGAAGCTTCTCCAACGCGGCCATCTGTCTCTCTATCTGCCGCAGTTTGTCCTCCATGTGATGGTACGGGCTAGAGGACTTGGTCAGAGGCGGCCCATGGGGCTGCTGTGGCGGAGCATCCTCCTCTCTCCAGCCGGTGGTCATATTTTGAATTTTCAGGTGTCCCAGGATAGCGTGGAGGAGGGTATGCAACGCATTGAAGTTGACAGCTCCAACATCAGGTGTCCCGATCGACAGGTTCACCAAATCGAACAAACTAATGTCAGCTGACATTTTGGCTCACACTACTTTTGGGTTTCAATGTTTTAAAAAAATATTTACGAGGGATATGAAATATATAGTTTCTTCCAATATATAAACGCCAGAATGATTCAATTAAATAAGATCAAAAAACGACAGGATCGAACACAAACAATATAGATGTAAAAATTATAGAAAAAAATAATTTGTTTCGTCTGCACCAAATAAAAAAAAGTGTCTGTAAATTAGAATTAAATCTTCCCTACATAGCTACTTTTCAACACCTTCTCGTGGCTACTCAATCTCAGTTGTTTCTTATTCCAATGCCATTTGTAACCTTGCTTTAAAAATTATTTTAGTTTGGTTCTAATCTCTCACGCCTACCCTAGAACCGTATTGGACGTAACACTGACAGTAGCCTCCTTCCATTACACAATAATCGCATCCCATATTGTGACTCACAGCGTCTCTGGTTGCTGAGCAATAAGGCAGCGGCAGGTAGGACAAGGGTTGTGTTGTTGAGAATATATGCAAAGCATCACCTGTTCTCACCCCAGGCATGCAAAAAGGAGCATACAGACACAAAAAAGACTCAAAATAACAATTTAATAATAATAATAAATACATAAAATAAGCGTGCATATCCTGGTGCCTTTCTAAATGCAACTACATTCAAGTATAAAATCTGGTTCATAATGCATAACACGTTGTAGTTCATTCCCTCAAAATCCTATTGATTGCCTCACATCCAATAGCTCTGGCGCTGAACAATCTTCAAACTCAGTTTTCATGCTCCACCGAACAACTGAACTCTACATTCAGCAATCCACACAATGAATGCCATGATTAATGAGTTAGACTATACATTTTGGCAAAGAGCACAAACATTGTAAACAGTTTATGACCTCAATCGAAATTGCATGATGAAAATGTAAAAGAAAAAATGCTTGATGTTTCAATGTGAGTTCTAAATAAAACCATAGCCTCATAAACTCATAAGCTCAGAGTTCTTCAATGTGACATTTAACAGAGCAATATAACCTAGTGCAGTTTAGACATTAAAATTCTGGTCTACATTTTATGATTCACCATTCATCCAACAGCCATATTTACCATGGCTATGCCATCATCCTCAAGACACTATGTATGGCCTTTTGGATCCCACTTTTGACTAAACCTATGGAATACTACAGATACTCTGAAAGCGTGATGCAAATATTGACAAAGAAATAACATTTACAGCATTGTTCAACAATTTGGTATGGATTTCACTATAACAAAATAATTAAAATTGCAATAAGCTAGTGTATATGTGTCTTGATAATTTCTCCCTTTATGACAAATGCCATCTTACAAGAAATCTAGATGCAGTGGAGTCCTGATAAATGCAATGGCTTGGGAGTGTTCTAAATGTGTATACTAAACCTGAGCATGCAGAAGTGAAAAGTGTATATTTGAATTGGAACTGGTCAACTGTACTGCATGTAAACAGAGTTTGTACATATCCGATGTGCGCTTATCAAGACTCAACTGTACTACGTTTTCTTCTATCAAATGTAAGTACAATAGTAAGATTCATGTTGAGCCTGGAAACTTTGGTAGGAATAGCAGTCTCTAGCTAAACCTTAGTTATATAAAATGTCAATGACTACTGCACATTGAAACCAACCAGCTGAACATCTACATAAAGACACAAGCACAGTGAATGACATTGAACGTGAAAATAAAGGCTCCTCTGTGCACAACTGATTCACTCCAAGTAGAGTAAAACATACAGTATTAAATTGTCTCATACACTTGAAAGGCAAAAATCAATAGAGCTGTGAATGACTATGCTAAAACAGTCTCTGCTTATTGGGGCGGAGGTGGGCCAGTCAAAATATCAGTTGAAGGATTCCAAAGGATAGCTGGGTTGATAGGAAGGTGTTACACTGACTCTTCCCCGGATGACCTGTCCAGGTGTGAATAGTTCCTCTCACCGTGGCCCCCTCCTCCCATAGGTTGTCATATGCTGTCATAGTCAGTGTCACGTCTGCTGGAGACCACCATCCACTCAGCCACGAAGAAGGATAGCGTGCCCAGGAAGCCCACCACAACCATGATGAGCAGCTGCCAGTGCAGCAGGAGATAGTTACTGTAGAAGAAGGCCAGGGCTGCTGCGATGGACTGTGGAGGACAAGAGCACCAAGTTACACCACTGTAATACAACAACAGTGGATAGCAAGTATGGGGAATCGAGGGATATATCATGCAAATAACTCAATCAATCAATCAATTTTATTTTTATATAGCCCTTCTTACATCAGCTAATATCTCGAAGTGCTGTACAGAAACCCAGCCTAAAACCCCAAACAGCTAGTAATGCAGGTGTAGAAGCACGGTGGCTAGGAAAAACTCCCTAGAAAGGCGAAAACCTAGGAAGAAACCTAGAGAGGAACCAGGCTATGAGGGGTGGCCAGTCCTCTTCTGGCTGTGCCGGGTGGAGATTATAACAGAACCATACCAAGATGTTCAAAAATGTTCATAAGTGACAAGCATGGTCAAATAATAATCAGGAATAAATCTCAGTTGGCTTTTCATAGCCGATCATTAAGAGTTGAAAACAGCAGGTCTGGGACAGGTAGGGGTTCCATAACCGCAGGCAGAACAGTTTAAACTGGAATAGCAGCAAGGCCAGGCGGACTGGGGACAGCAAGGAGTCACCACGGCCGGTAGTCCCGACGTATGGTCCTAGGGCTCAGGTCTCTCAGTTGGCTTTTCATAGCCGATCATTAAGAGTTGAAAACAGCAGGTCTGGGACAGGTAGGGGTTTCGTAGCCGCAGGCAGAACAGTTGAAACTGGAATAGCAGCAAGGCCAGGCGGACTGGGGACAGCAAGGTGTCATCATGCCCGGTAGTCCTGACGTATGGTCCTAGGGCTCAGGTTCTCAGAGAGAAAGAGAGAACGAGAGAATTAGAGAGAGCATACTTAAATTCACACAGGACACTGGATAAGACAGGAGAAGTACTCCAGGTATAACCAACTAACCCCAGCCCCCCGACACATAAACTACTGCAGCATAAATACTGGAGGCTGAGACAGGAGCGGTCCGGAGACACTGTGGCCCCATCCGAAGAAACCCCTGGACAGGGCCAAACAGGAAGGATATAACCCCACCCACTCCGCCAAAGCACAGCCCCCGCACCACTAGAGGGATATCCCCAACCACCAACTTACAATCCTGAGACAAGGCCGAGTATAGCCCACAGAGGTCATTCCGAGTAATACATCACCACCATAGATAGCAAACCATACCGTGTGTGTAGGCCTAACAGATATCAATGTACCTGGACAAACTTGAAAACAGCGAAGGCAGGAGCGCTGTCCTCCCGGAACATGAATCCCACAATGCTCAGCAGCTGGGTGTTGAAGCAGCTGTCCCCCAGGCCCAGCAGGAAGCTGCACAGCAGAGCCACCTCAACACTGAACACACAATACAGTCAAAAATACAGCAGAGCCACCTCAACACTGTGGACAACATCAGAACACAACAGGTTAAGCAAATAAGGCAACGCCACCTCAACACTGAACAGACAACATCCCAGGTTAATACAGACATGGAACTTTACACAATCTGCAGTAACCTGATATCAGAGTTAAAATGCAATTATGCACTACTGCTACACTTAACATAATGCTCATGTCCTGACCTACTGTATCCTTATGCAAAGTACAGTAGAATTGTTGTAATAGTAATCTATGGTGATTGTTAAATGGGCCATCTGAGTAAGCCCTGCTGTGTACCTGGGGGTGATGTATGCCTGCAGGTGTGTGCCCTCCTCTGGTGCAATGGGGGCATCACTGGCGATGTTTAGGAAGATCAGGTAAAAGGCCACGAAGTGAGTGATCAGCCCCAGCAGCACCACCGGGTTCCTCCCAAACCGGTTGCACTTGTTCAGCATCCCAAACACGCCCCCTCCTGGACACACAGAGGCACAGCAAAAACAGAGGCATTGACTTCCTCATCAGTCCCTTCCTGGCAACCCAGTTTTATCTGCTTTCATAACCTCACGTGTATCATGTGATGCGAAACAGCATTGAAGATAAAAAAAAAACTACTTAGAATCAACAGTGGTAACATACTCACCTAGGATCTCTCCCAGGCCAATGAAAATGCCAGAGAGCCCGATCAGACTCTTGGCATCGTCCCCAAATCGTGTCATGGCTCCTATACATGTCCCGTATACCCCGCTGTAAAATGTCAGCTCTAGGCCTGAAGGTGGAGACGGAGCAAGAGTTACACACATAGAATCTATGGTTACGCATTCAAACATACTCAATGTCAATTGAATATGCATCCGTTTATATTTTTATAATTTTATACTAGCATCCACTGAAAGAAGTTTCCTCATATTGGAAATAGCCCAAACCAGCTTTTTGCTGAAGGAATTTGAATTAATTTGCTCACCTGTGTATGCTATGGAGATACTTAGCAGTAGCATCTCTTTAGTGACAGACAACTGCAACGCTTTCTCTGTAAGAAGAGGGCACATATCAGTCAGCTGAGCTCTGGGCCTTTGTGGATATTGCTGATAAGACAGATTGAAGTAAGTTGCAACCAATTAACTCTGACTCACTGAAAGCGTCCAGAGCCTGGGAACCGAGACCTGGAGTCGCTCTGCAAGGAAGAGAAATCCATAAATAAACTTAAGTACAGCCTATTCAAACATAGAGAAATACAGAATTATCCAGATTCAACCCAGGCCTATGGAGGAATACGCTGTACCTTACATACAACGGCAGGTACAGAATGCACAAACACCATTTGTATGGCATATCTATTAGTATATCAATATTTGATGTGTGTATGTATGCATGACAACATGCGTGATTCTGGTCAATAAAAGGGTAGATAAGGACAATCTTTCTTGTGCTAGTTTACTCTAACATTAGACCTAGACCATGTTTTCCAGCCCAGCCTGTCTGCAGACTGCACTCACACAACGATAGAGGCGCTCTCTGTGGACTCAGACGCCTCGGAGGGTGTGGCCTCAGGCTCTGGCTTCTGGATCAAGAAGAACAGGAAGCTGCCCACCAGGCTGATGACCGTGAGAGAGATGAACACCGTCTGGCGATCCTTGTCTAGACACACACACACACACACACCAGCAGCATGTGTCAGTAACTTATGGCCAAAATGAGATTTCCTCATTGTGTCAAGGGAACTTAGGGAATGCTAGATACTATAAAAAGGAAAGGGGAAAAGACTCATGAATCTAGGTAGAATACGTTCAAAATATATTTACATTGTTATACTAAAAAGTTAACCAAAACTGATGACATACCTGATATGTGAACATGGCCATGCCAGGCAAAATAAATATACATGTTTCCAAAGAATAAGCTGCAAAATGAGATAGATACATGTTAGGCAGTGCAACACCATGGATTTAGTACTAGGGTGAAAAAGCTATGCTAAACAGTGCTGCAATCAATACAGTTATGCTGATAAGAAGAAGTACCTGAACTGTAGCAAGGCCCAGAAAATACCACTGTTCCTGCCAATGGTGGCATCTGTAGAGTTGATGGTGAGTAGGTTCCCCTGAGCTGTCCACAATACTAGGCCACAGATGGAAAGAGAAAAGAAAGAGGGTTATGTGGTGATAGAGATACGAGTCTAATTCTCAAGTAAGAATAGCACATAGTCTTCTTACTTGCAGCTGCTATTCCAACTACTACAGAGGCTGTGTAGAAGCTCCAAGTGAAGGGGTGGATGAACATGGCAATGTATCCACTGATGGAAACAAAACATTGAACAGCTTTAACATCACAAAGAGAATAGGTAAAGAAACAGTTCTGTAAACAGGTATAGGCTACAGTGGGTTGATTTAAAGAAAGGTCAAAAGAGTGTGCTCACCTGTATACTAATCCACTAAAGAACATGGACAATTGGGGTCCTATAACAGCCACTACTGAGGGAGCAATCAGGTTGGATGCAGAGAAAACTCCATAGATGATGGCCATGCTACATGTAAAGACATGTGTAAAAACGAATTAGATGATTATTGCGCCAATGTAATACCGCTATTCATAGGAAAATGTTAGCAACATGGCTACAACTGCAGGCATTTTATTCTAAGTCACTAAGGATGTGTTTGAATTTTTTTAAAAGCCAGGTGTTTGCCTGCCACGGGTGGTGTCATTAAGATGTCCATAAAGGCCAACAGCAGCAATTAAGTCAAACGAGGCCCTACAACAGCACAGTCATATGCATGTTATTTACGTAATACCTCGGCAAACTGGGATATTGTAGAGAACTGAAAGTCAACTTTGTTGTCTAAACTGGGCAGATTCAATTACTTACCTTTGGAGACCTATTTGAGAGAGAGACAGGATTACGATCTTCCAACAGTTCTAATCTTTATCATAGGACAAAGTCACAGTATTTCAGCATCACAATGAATTACCTTGTGTATCCACTCCCATGGAATTCAGTGCTGTTGAAACTCTTGATCACAGTTTGCTGAAAAAGCACGAGACATAAACAAATGACACCATCAATATCAATTTCCCCTGTAGGTTCCCTACAGTTGTGTGGTTAGAATTTATATGTATCATTTGTCAGTTCAACCATACCTCTATATTGCCGCATGTTTGGAAAGCAGTGAACATGAACATAAATCCAAAACCCAGGATTATGATGTTCAAGAGTGTCTTTCCCTCTGGACCCATGCTTGCTGCAGGGTGTCACTGTAATATTACTTGACGAAATGGGTTAGTTAAAAAACCTTTGAAGGGGCCCACAGCTCATCTGAAAAAGAACAGAATCAAAATAACCTTGTTGAGAAATTTGTAGAAAGGTTGGGAAATACAAACAATGCTATGAATATGAACTATTGTCCAAACAATACATATCTAGCTAGATCTGCTACCAAATAATCACTACAGTACTTCCTTGCTTTTGTCTGTTTAGCCATTTGAGAAGAAAACAACTTACCGACTCGGGTGCTGCACTGTATAGTCCTTGTTTGTGCAAGCTACATAGTTAGCAAACCAATAACGACTTGTGGAGTTAGCAGATGGACTCAAATCCTAGAAAGAATCCAACAATAATGTACTAGGCTACAATACTTTCCCCCCGTCTAGTGTAAAACGGTCTTTGAATAATTATCAGTAAGTGACCGAAACTGTTCGTCATGTGAGATAAATCAGCTGACATTGCACCGCCGTATAACCCAAAGCCTACTGGGAAACTGAGTTTATTTGCTAGTCTGATGTCACTCTCGTTTCCGGGTCAAACATTTTAAAACATTACTGAATTGAAAGTATTTTCTATTTGTGTCCCATCCAAGTTATTTGTATATAATATTATATGTTTTGGGGTATTGAATTATGATTAAAAATGTGTAATTTGAAGATTTGTGTTGCTTTTCCCTCCAAATAAATACGCAGCAGCGTTCCTCATCAACCTCATTCAACGAGGAGGAGCAAGGGACGACAGCTCGTGCAAACAAATGGTCTGTGCTAAGGAAATCGTCATAAATTTGGAAAGCTATATTGCAGTTTTTTAAGAAAAACTCGACATATAGCGAGCAAGGGTGTTTAAGTACGATACTTTTAATCAAAAACTTTAAGCGGGTGTTGACCTTTCACCCTTCTTTTCTGATAGTACCGTTGCGTGTTTGTTAGCTAGGCTAGCTAAGCTATCTGCAACATGAGTTATGGTAGGCCCCCGCCCGATGTTGAGGGCATGACTTCTCTTAAAGTGGATAATCTGACGTACCGAACCTCACCTGAGACCCTTCGCCGTGTCTTCGAAAAGTATGGTAGGGTAGGAGATGTTTACATCCCCCGAGATCGTTATACGAAAGAGAGCAGAGGGTTCTCCTTTGTGCGATTCCATGACAAGCGGGATGCAGAGGATGCGATGGACGCGATGGATGGTGCGGTGCTGGACGGGCGCGAGCTGAGAGTCCAGATGGCACGCTACGGACGTCCCCCAGATTCTCACCATGGAGGTGGTGGTGACCGTGGAGAGCGTGGTGACCGTCGGCGTGGAGGTGCTCCCCGGAGGTACGGGGGTGATGGCCGACGAAGTAGGAGGTAAGAGCTGAGCACATGGTTAAGTAGTTGCTCTAGCTCTCCTTCGATTGGGTCGTTTTTCATTGTTAGATATGTAGTAATTATTTACAGTGAAATTTACGTTTACTTGGCTAACGTTAGCTATGACGCATAATGTTTGTGTAGGAACTTGAATGTTGTAACGCTACCTTATGGCCCTTGTATCGATTATGTAGCGTCAAACAGCCACCATTACATGCATGGTTCATTGACCTGATAATTTAGCAGCGTTTTGAGGGTGCTGTGGCCTTACGTTTACCACTGTTTTAGATGGGCGATAACTCAACACACCGAACTTACTCTAGTTTTCCCCCCAGTCCCAGGCGTCGGAGACGCAGCAGATCCCGGAGCAGAAGCCGATCTCGTTCCCGCAGCCGTTCCCGCAACAGCCGATCAAGGTCCCGTTCCTACTCTCGCTCCAAGTCCCGCTCCCCTAAGAGAGACAAGGCCAAGTCCCCATCCAGGTCCCGCTCCAGATCCAAATCCAAGACCCCTAAGTCAAAGTCCCGTTCCAGGAGCCACACCCCTGCAGAAAGAGGCTCACGGTCAAGATCCAAGAGCCAGCCCAAGTCACCTGGGGCGAATGGCGCTGAAACCCCATAGATGAGTGACAAAATGGTAAGTGTTGGGCAAGGAGATGGGAAACACCTTAACACTACCTTTTTGTAAATTGTTTGAGGTGAAGTCTAGCGTTACAATTTAGTGTATGAATAGCATGGGGAGGGTCATGTGTGGGATGGATTTGCACTATCTCTCCCTTTTCCAATGGTTATCTGTGGTTGAATAGAAGGGGGTTGGTTGTGGGATGTCTTGACCAAATGTGAGCTGCTTTAACACTGTCTTTTTCCACCTCAAAATGGTTATGCATATTACTGTAACACTGGGCATGGCAAAGCAGAATGGAAAACTGTCCCATATGGTCGTTGCCTTAAACTCACATTTGATGGATTTTTGGGACTATTCCTTTGTCACAATTTTACTCTGTCCTGCCCAATGTTCCAGTTTCGTTATCAGTGTAGAGGTCCGTTCTTGACATGTACATCTGTGGTATTTGAAAATAATTTTTTACCATCAAAATAAAATGTTCAAAAAAAATCTGGAATTCTTTCCTCCAAGCTGCGGAATCCTGTTTGCAAAAGAGGAGTTTGAGGCAGTATGAGCAGTTAGTGAGCTGGGTGTGTGAGCTGTCCGGGCACCTGCTGCTGTGGGGGTTGCTATGGAGCAGGCCGGTTGCAGGTTGCAGGCCGGTTGCAGGTTGCAGTCAGTGTTGGGGTGGTGTTGAGGTACGTCTGCAGGACAATGGACAGAAGCCTTGCATTGTCCTCCAGGTCATGCTCTCGGCCTTTTGGGGGCAAATACTTGTGCTCAGGAGGGAACCAAGGTTTGTCTGACTCTGGTTTCTCATGACAAGATTTCTCATTTTGTGAAGCCTGGGCGTCTCTTGACGTTGGTTCCTTCCTTGAACCAAACAATTTCAACCATCAGAAATGGGTATTGGCATAGCTTTTGATTTGGCTAATTTTTTTCAAATGTAGACTAGTTACCTACTAATATGGGGGAAATGTGCTATTCACATGAAGTTGGCATTACATTGGCAGCTGATTATGCCATGCAAATGGCCTGGAGGTGTCTCCACGTCTATCTGGAGGGAGGGGTGGTCAAGTTAACAAGTCGTCGCCACTTCATTACTAGAGGTTTAAGACAAAATGTAGCGATTTGTTTTCCAACACCTGTTTCTTACAGCTTGTCTTTCAAACCTTTTTCAGATGAGACGCCAATGAGGACGTCAGACTGCGGACCCTGTCCATACAATGATTTCTGGTGTAAAAGGTTATTATTGTATCTTGACCGGAAGGTGTTTTTTTTTTTGTTTTTGTATTTGTTTTTTGTTTGCCCAGACTTGTCTTTCAGTGTGCAATGTTTTAAATAAATACTTACTGTGCTTTTGAGGTAGGTGGGCAATACTGCTGGGATTTGAATTAGTTGGACTGCATGGCTATTTTCAGTATCTAAAACTGTCATAGTGAAGATTTGCTGGCCTAGCTTTTACAACTGTTATTTTGGGTTTCATGAGAACTGTTCAGGAAGATATGGGGTTAGTGAAAGGCCATTACAGAAGTTTAAATGGATAGGGCTTCCAAAAGCTTTTAGGATAAGTACGGAAAGAACCAAGCACAGATTTACTTGCAAGTGAACTTTGCGATGTAGGTTTATCTTTAATTTAATTGTGACTCTAATCTTCTCTCCTGTATTTTTTGTGCACTAGGCGCAGTTGTGTAGCAGTTGAGTATTGCTGGTTAGCTGTTAAGGTGGCGTGTTGCAGTGCTTGGCTGTTTCCAGTGTTCTCCGGGAATGCCCCTGTGGCTACAATGCTGTGATGGTGGCCAACTTAAATGGCTGCTACAAATTCACCATCGGTAGAATGCCTGTCTTGCTTTCAACACAAGTTTTAAATGTTCTCTAATTCGGAGCACCAAGTATGGTATGCTAATTTTTGTTTGTTTCATTGTCAAACAGAACAGATGCATTCTGTCTTGCCCTTTTGTGCATTCCTTTTCCCCCTTGCAAGAGTATAAGTGTCCAATGTGAAAGCTAATAAAAATTATCTTCTAAAATGTTTGGCTTTCGTGTAATCAATTTCATTCTAAAACTTACTTTGACAACACTACTATACAACTTAGACTATTTTATAATGCATTGTGTTTTGAACCATTGATCTTGTATTGGGTCTTGATGACTATTTGGCGAATTTGAATATGCCTTGCTGGCAGTAACTGAAGGATACATTGACACCATTTTATGTCTTTATTGTCATTCAGCTTTCCTTGTCCTCAGTTATAATCATTTGTACAGCATGGCTTCCAGGAAGTGTTGACCCAGCTAGTTGGTCTTTGTTGGCGTGGAATTTCTCCAGTGGAATGTTGACACACTTCAAGTTCCATTTGTGCAGCAATGCCTCTATGGACCAGTCAGCACTGAAACATTAAGACAAATAATCAATTTGAGTAATGTTTACTTGACATTGACTGACAGCCACATACGGTCCTGAAAGGCATACCTTCTCTCTTGGTAAGTTGTCCAAAATTGGGCCACAGGGTTTTTCCTCAAGAGGAAGGAGATGGTCACCAGGGCATTTTCAAAATCTGAAAGTTGTAAATTCATAGTTGAGTTTCAGAACTATCTGCTCACATTTCCCAAATGAACTGGTCAGTCTGAACTCACCTTCAGGCTCATAGAAAACATCTGATCCCAAGATGATGTCTAATGGAGGGAGGAGCAGAAGGTCTGGGGAGACTTCTCCCCAGGTAATACCCACCACAAGCACATTGGGCAGTTCATTCACTTCACACGTGCGCCTACAGTTCTCCAGACACAGTGGAAGTTCTGCACTGTCTGACAAGATCACTTGTGCCCCACACTTTGCTGCCACCACACCAGGTAAACTCACGCCAGCCCCAAGCTGTGAACAAACAGCAGTGCATTCTGATTCAATAGTATGTTTTAGAAACAAGTTACACATTTAGACTGTAAATATAAGTTATTTGGAGAGTACACTGAAAAGGTTGGGTTCAGTAAATTACCTCTAGCACTGTTTTGTGCATCAAATTGTATTGGTCACATGCGCTGAATACAACAGGTGCAGACATTACAGTGAAATGCTTACTTACAGCCCTTAACCAACAGTGCATTTATTTTTAACAAAAAAAGTAAAAAATAAAACAAAGTGTTGAGAAAAAAAAGAGCAGAAGTAAAATAAAATAACAGTAGGGAGGCTATATATACAGGGGGGTACCGTTGCAGAGTCAATGTGCGGGGCACCGGCTAGTTGAGGTAATATGTACATGTGGGTAGAGTTAAGTGATATGCATAAAATTAACAGAGTAGCCAGCACGTAAAAAGGTGGGGATGTGGGGGCAGTGCAAATAGTCTGGGTAGCCCAAATGAACTGTTCAGGAGTCTATGGCTTGGGTAGATCTTTGTGTCCACACATATTGTGCTAATACCACTGCACAAGGCCAGACATACATCCCATATTGTGGATCAAGGACCTAGTACAGAGTGGAGAAACGACATGATTACAGTTCACATGAATGTCAAAACAACTTCCATTGATTCAGAAAAGTCTGGCTGGCAGGATAACTTCTGTACACCTCTCCAAGGAACTCGGCAGGCTTCAGGGTCAATTACTACAGTGCAGTTGTAGGCGAGCAATATTGTTATTTACAGCAACATCACTGGTTACACATGGAAAAAGTGTAGATTAGAAAGTGCGCAAAAACCTCAGGGATGGAAACATTCAGTGATTGCTTTGGGTCCTCGTATTCTTCTGCAATATGTTGGACATCTCAGTTGCTCTGTTTTCCATTTTACCATCCCAATTGTGAGAGTTAGTAAATAAATTCAGTGCTAAAACAATACGTTTACTGTCATTAAATCCGTATTTCCCAAAAAACAGACATGCTTGCGTCTGTCTGCTGATGGACGGTGAAAACGTAGACGGTATACAGCCAATGACATGTGCTAATGACTCTGGTGGGAAGGCGTATTCCACATTTTATCCAATCGGTTTTCTCGGATGTATGACCCGCTCTTGTACGTGGCCAACGAACTTCTTACGGCTCTCTGGGTGGGCGGGTTTCAAATTGTAGATACCCCCGCGTTTGGTTGCAAGAGCATTGTTGTAGTTAGCTGCTTAGCTAATTTCATCCGAGCAGCTTCCTCGCTATTAAAAGTATGCTTAGAACAACATCTTAATTTTAAGGCCAACGTGTCGTGTTTCAGTAACACCAACAAAGTACTCGTATGAAGTTGCTTACCGTTTAAATTTAACTCCAGACCAGCCGCTACGCTAGCCACTCAACTAACGTTAGCTTCACCACTAGCTAGCAAGTCAAGCTAGCAAATGTGTTTGTCTACACACCCCAGTCTAGCGAGCTAGCTAACTCAAGACAACTCCCTAAATTTGGAGGAATGAACCATAAAAGTAAGAAGAGGATCAAAGAGGCGAAGCGGAGCGCCAGACCTGAGCTGAAGGACTCTTCAGACTGGACGAAACATGACTATTGCAAGAGTTTCGATGTGTCACACCGCTCAGTGAAGGTAAACTGTCGGTAGAACGCTATCCATGCTAGGCTAGTTAGCCATGTTAGTTCTGTCAACACGTTTCACATTACAAAACCAGTGCGGATGGTCACGTAGGCTACTGCTGCGCTTTCAGCGCACAGCGGTCTTCATTGGCGCAACTGTCAAATCTGTCACTCTGGACTCAAACTCTGTGTGCCACAGCCCATTCCATTAATACTTGACCTTATTAGTTTGACGGTGTCTAGTTACTTTGTTGTGAAATCGTGACAATATTGTTACATTTGTATTTCATTGAGGCCTACATGTGAAGATTAGCCAGTCACCACCAACAGGTAGCCAGCCTACTGACCCATGTGCTCAGACCCAATAGACAGCTGATGATGGCATTTTGTTTTAATCACAAGAGAGTTAAGAAGGGCTGCTCAGGCTGGCTAAGAATACCCATGACACTCAAAGCTTAGGTCAGGGTTCTTCAATTCCGGTCCTGGAGGGCCGAAACACTAATGTTTTTTATTTCTACCTGGTAGTTAATTGCACTCACCTGGTGTCCCAGGTCTGAATTAGCCCCTCCAGGACCGGAATTGAAGAACCCTGGCTTAGGTAGTTTTAAGAGATGTCATATAGGTCAACATCTCAACAGCATTTTTGTTTCATTCCCTCTCTTTTGGGGGTGTGCTTCTGAATTTAGCCTTTAAAAAATGTCGGACCCCATTATTCCATGTAAAAGGGGAACAAAAATGCCCATCACCTTTTGTATTCCCTTTGCCCCAGATCAGACTGTCAAATTGTCTTCCTCCGAGTCTACTCCTTAATGTTCCAGTTGGTGTCATTGCATTCAAAAACAGCCTGGCTCTCTACCTAAACAACAGTTGATATTTTATTGCGATGCAGTTTTGTAAAACACTCAACCTCAATCTGCGAGACCAATACTAGGCCCAATGACTGGCAAGCATTAAGTCAGAAATGACTAGTGTTCCCCTTGAATTCAGTACAAAGTAATTTGTATTGGTAGAATGGTTATTGAGAAAGTGTTGATTAAAGTAGGCGTACATTCATGAAATGTAGCCCTCAACTCTCTCTTTCACACAAACAGACCTTTTTATAATAATATAATATACCATTTGCGTATATAATCCCTTCTACCTCCTGGCACTGACATGTCTGCCGTATGCGTCTCACAGGACAATGTTGAGCGTGTGGACACCCTGCGTCTCAGCGCAGAGGAGTTCATCCAGCGCTTCGAGAGGCCCTACAAACCTGTGGTGCTGCTCAACTGTCAGGACACCTGGCCAGCCCGCGAGAAGTGGACCATGGAGCGCCTCAAACGTAAGTACCGCAACCAGAAGTTCAAGTGTGGTGAGGACAACGACGGTTACTCTGTGAAGATGAAGATGAAGTACTACGTGGAGTACCTGGAGTCCACACAGGACGACAGCCCACTCTACATCTTCGACAGCAGCTACGGCGAGCACGCCAAGCGCCGTAAGCTGCTGGAGGACTACCAGGTGCCAGTCTACTTTAGGGACGACCTCTTCCAGTTCGCCGGGGAGAAGCGCAGGCCTCCTTACAGGTAAGAGCTATCCTCAGTAACGTTAACTAAAATAGCTGCAATGTTATTGTATGTTCTGTGTAGTTTAACTAACTCTAGTAACACCTGTCCCTTTATTTTTATGTATTTTTTCACAGATGGTTTGTAATGGGTCCTGCCCGCTCTGGCACTGGCATCCACATTGACCCGCTGGGTACGAGTGCCTGGAATGCCCTGGTGCAGGGGCACAAGCGCTGGTGCTTGTTCCCCACCCACACGCCCCGGGAGCTGATCAAGGTGAACAGGGAGGACGGGGGCAACCAGCAGGATGAGGCCATCACCTGGTTCAGCGTGGTGTACCCACGCACCCAGCAGCCAACCTGGCCCGCTGAGTTCAGACCCCTGGAGATCCTGCAGGGACCAGGGGAGACTGTGTTTGTCCCTGGTCAGTGGGCTACTGCTGCCATTTTATAGACATGTCTGGTCTATCTTTCACTTTGAATACTCTTTGACTGGAGAGAGAGAAGTTGTTTTTGTCTTTCTTCAGCAATTTTGAATAATTTGTCAAGATCTGAAAAGGACAGGGGTCCTCAGTTTGTTAGGAAATATATTATGTAAAAGTAGGGCAGAACAGACTGTAAGTATGAAAGGTCTCCAGGCTCTGTTGTAGCCGGCCGCGACCGGGAGACCCATGGGGCGGCGCACAATTGGCCCAGCGTCGTCCAGGGTATGGGAGGGAATGGCCGGCAGGGATGTAGCTCAGTTGGTAGTGCATGGCGTTTGCAACGGCAGGGTTGTGGGTTCGATTCCCACGGGGGGCCAGTATGAATAAAAAATAAATAAATAAAAGAATAATGTAAGTCGCTCTGTCGCTCTGGATAAGAGCGTCTGCTAAATGACTAAAATGTAAATGTCTTTGGTGAGACGTGATATACCTATGTTACGTGCTGTGAATACATATATTATAGCTGTGTGTATATATTGAACAAAAATATAAACGCAACATGCAACAATTTCAAAGATTTTACTCAGATAGAGTTCATATAAGGAAATCAGTCAATTTAAATAAATTGATTAGGCCCTAATCTATGGATTTCACATGACTGGGAATACAGATATGCATCTGATGGTCACAGATACCTTAAAAAAAAAAAAGTAGGGGTGGGGATCAGAAAACCAGTCAGTATCTGGTGTGACCACCATTTGCCTCATGCAGCGCGACACATCTCCTTCGCATAGAGTTGATCAGGCTGTTGATTGTGGCCTGTGGAATGTCCCACTCCTCTTCAATAGCTGTGCGAAGTTGCTGGATATTGGCGGGAACTGGAACGCGCTGTTGTACACGTCGATCCAGAGCATCCCAAACATGCTCAATGGGTGACATGTTTGGTGAATATGCAGGCCATGGAAGAACTGGGACATTTTCAGCTTCCAGGAATTGTGTACAGATCCTTGCGACATGGGGTCGTGCATTAACATGCTGAAACATGAGGTGATGGTGGCGGATGAATGGCACAACAGTGGGCCTCAGGAGCTCGTTGTGTTATCTCTGTGTATTCTAATTGCATTTACATTTACGTCATTTAGCAGATGCTCTTATCCAGCGCGACTTACAAATAGGTGCATTCACCTTATAGCCAGTGGGATCACCACTTCACAATGTATTTTTTTTTGTTGTTGATTTTTTTTGGGGGGGGGGGTTGGGGTAAGGGGGGGGTAGAAGGATTACTTTATCCTATCCCAGGTATTCCTTAAAGAGGTGGGGTTTCAAATGTCTCCGGAAGGTGGTGAGTGACTCCGCTGTCCTGGCGTCGTGAGGGAGCTTGTTCCACCATTGGGGTGCCAGAGCAGCGAACAGTTTTGACTGGGCTGAGCGGGAACTATGCTTCTGCAGAGGTAGGGGAGCCAGCAGGCCAGAGGTGGATGAACGCAATGCCCTCATTTGCAATGCCCTCGTTTGGGTGTAGGGACTGATCAGAGCCATTGATAAAATCTAATTGTGTTGGTTGTCCATAGCTTATGCCTGCCCATACCATAACACCACCGCCACAATGGGGCACTCTGTACACAATGTTGACATCAGCAAATAGCTCGCCCACACGACGCCATACACGTAGTCTGCAGTTGTGAGGCCGGTTGGACGTACTGCCAAATTCTCTAAAATGACGGAGGCGGCTTCTGGTAGAGAAATGAACATTCTGCAGTCAAACTGCACATTTTAGAGTGGCCTTTTATTGTCCCCAGCACAAGGTGCACCTGTGTAATGATCATGCGGTTTAATCAGCTTCTTGATATGCCACACCTGTCAGGTGGATGGATTATCTTGGCAAAGGAGAAATGCTCACTAACAGGGATGTAAACAAATGTGTGTGTGCAACATTTGAGGGAAATAAGCTTTTTGTGCTTAAGGAACCTTTCTGGGATCTTTTATTTCAGCTCATGAAACATGGGACCAACACTACATGTTGCGCTTATACACTGCTCAAAAAAATAAAGGGAACACTAAAATAACACATCCTAGATCTGAATGAATGAAATAATCTTATTAAATACTTTTTTCTTTACATAGTTGAATGTGCTGACAACAAAATCACACAAAAATTATCAATGGAAATCAAATGTATCAACCCATGGAGGTCTGGATTTGGAGTCACCCTCAAAATTAAAGTGGAAAACCACACTACAGGCTGATCCAACTTTGATGTAATGTCCTTAAAACAAGTCAAAATGAGGCTCAGTAGTGTGTGTGGCCTCCAGGTGCCTGTATGACCTCCCTACAACGCCTGGGCATGCTCCTGATGAGGTGGCGGATGGTCTCCTGAGGGATCTCCTCCCAGACCTGGACTAAAGCATCCGCCAACTCCTGGACAGTCTGTGGTGCAACGTGGCGTTGGTGGATGGAGCGAGACATGATGTGCTCAATTGGATTCAGGTCTGGGGAACGGGCGGGCCAGTCCATAGCATCAATGCCTTCCTCTTGCAGGAACTGCTGACACACTCCAGCCACATGAGGTCTAGCATTGTCTTGCATTAGGAGGAACCCAGGGCCAACCGCACCAGCATATGGTCTCACAAGGGGTCTGAGGATCTCATCTTGGTACCTAATGGCAGTCAGGCTACCTCTGGCGAGCACATGGAGGGCTGTGCGGCCCCCCAAAGAAATGCCACCCCACACCATGACTGACCCACTGCCAAACCTGTCATGCTGGAGGATGTTGCAGGCAGCAGAACGTTCTCCACGGTGTCTCCAGACTCTGTCACGTCTGTCACGTGCTCAGTGTGAACCTGCTTTCATCTGTGAATAGCACAGGGCGCCAGTGGCGAATTTGCCAATCTTGGTGTTGTCTGGCAAATGCCAAACGTCCTGCACGGTGTTGGGCTGTAAGCACAACCCCCACCTGTGGACGTCGGGCCCTCATACCACCCTCATGGAGTCTGTTTCTGACCGTTTGAGCAGACACATGCACATTTGTGGCCATTTTGCAGGGCTCTGGCAGTGCTCCTCCTGCTCTTCCTTGCACAAAGGCGGAGGTAGCAGTCCTGCTGTTGGGTTGTTGCCCTCCTATGGCCTCCTCCACGTCTCCTGATGTACTGGCCTGTCTCCTGGTAGCGCCTCCATGCTCTGGACACTACGCTGACAGACACAGCAAACCTTCTTGCCACAGCTCGCATTAATGTGCCATCCTGGATGAGCTGCACTACCTGAGCCACTTGTGTGGGTTGTAGACTCCGTCTCATGCTACCACTAGAGTGAAAGCACCGCCAGCATTCAAAAGTGACCAAAACATCAGCCAGGAAGCATAGGAACTGAGAAGTGGTCTGTGGTCACCACCTGCAAAACCAGTCCTTTATTGGGGGTGTCTTTCTAATTGCCTATAATTTCCACCTGTTGTCTATCCCATTTGCACAACAGCATGTGAAATTTATTGTCAATCAGTGTTGCTTCCTAAGTGGACAGTTTGATTTCACAGAAGTGTGATTGACTTGGAGTTACATTGTGTTGTTTAAGTGTTCCCTTTATTTTTTTGAGCAGTGTATTTTTGTTCTCTCTCTCTCTCTCTCTCTATATATATATATATATATATATATATATATATATATATATATATATATATATATATATATATATATATATATATATACATAATACACATACATACACAGTACGAGTTAAAAGTTTGGACACACCTACTCATTCAAGAGTTTTTCTTTATTTTTACTATTTTCTACATTGTAGAATAATAGTGAAGACATCAAAACTATGAAATAACACACATGGAATCATGTAGCAACCAAAAAAGTGTTAAACAAATCAAAATATAAATTATATTTGAGTTTCTTCAAAGTAGCCACCCTTTGCCTTGATGATAGCTTTGCACACTCTTGGCATTCTCTCAACCAGTTTCACCTGGAATGCTTTTTCAACAGTCTTGAAGGAGTTCCCACATATGCTGAGTACTTGTTGGCTGCTTTTCCTTCACTCTGCGGTCCAACTCATCCCAAACCATCTCATTTGGGTTGAGGTCGGGTGATTGTGGAGGCCAGGTCATCTGATGCAGCACTCCATTACTCTCCTCCTTGGTAAAGTAGCCCTTACACAGCCTGGAGGTGTGTTGGGTCATTGTCCTGTTGAAAAACAAATGATAGTCCCACTAAGCGCAAACCAGATGGGATGGCGTATCGCTGCAGAATGCTGTGGTAGCCATGCTGGTTAAGTGTGCCTTGAATTCTAAATAAATCACAGACAATGTCACCAGCAAAGCACCCCCACACCATCACACACCTCCTCCATGCTTCATGGTGGGAACCACACATGCGGAGATCATCCGTTCACCTACTCTGCATCTCACAAAGACACAGCGGTTGGAACCAAAAATCTCACATTTGGACTCATCAGACCAAAGGACAGATTTCCACCAGTCTAATGTCCATTGCTCGTGTTTCTTGGCCCAAGAAAGTCTCTACTTCTTATTGGTGTCCTTTAGTAGTGGTTTCTTTGCAGCAATTCGACCATGATGGCCTGATTCACACAGTCTCCTCTGAACAGTTGGTGTTGAGATGTGTCTGTTACTTGAACTCTGTGAAGCATTTATTTGGGCTGCAATTTCTGAGGCTGGTAACTCTAATGAACTTATCCTCTGCAGTTGAGGGAACTCTGGGTCTTCCTTTCCTGTGGCGGTCCTCATGAGAGCCAGTTTCATCATGGCGCTTGATGGTTTTTGCGACTGCACTTTAAAAAACGTTCAAAGTTCTTGACATTTTCCAGATTGACTGACCTTCATGTCTTAAAGTAATGATGGACTGTCGTTTCTCTTTGCTTATTTGAGCTGTTCTTGCCATAATACCAAATAGGGCTATCTTCTGTATACCACTCCTACCTTGTCACAACACAACTGATTGGCTCAAACGCTTTAAGAAGGAAAGAAATTCCACAAATTAACTTTTAAGAAGGCACACCTGTTAATTGAAATGCATCCCAGGTGGTTGAGAGAATGTCAACAGTGTGCAAAGCTGTCATCAAGGCAAAGGGTGGCTACTTTGAAGAATCTCAAATATAAAATATATTTTGATTTGTTTAACACTTTTTTGGTTACTACATGATTCCATATGTGTTATTTCATAGCTTTGATGTCTTCACTATTATTCTACAATGTAGAAAATAGTAAAAATAAAGGAAAACCCTTGAATGAGTAGGTGTGTCCAAACATTTGACTGGTATTGTGTGTGTGTGTGTGTGTGTGTGTGTATGTATGTGTATATACAGTGGGGGGGAAAAAAGTATTTAGTCAGCCACCAATTGTGCAAGTTCTCCCACTTAAAAAGATGAGAGGCCTGTAATTTTCATCATAGGTACACGTCAACTATGACAGACGAATTGAGGGGAAAAAATCCAGAAAATCACATTGTAGGATTTTTAATGAATTTATTTGCAAATTATGGTGGAAAATAAGTATTTGGTCACCTACAAACAAGCAAGATTTCTGGCTCTCACAGACCTGTAACTTCTTCTTTAAGAGGCTCCTCTGTCCTCCACTTGTAACCTGTATTAATGGCACCTGTTTGAACTTGTTATCAGTATAAAAGACACCTGTCCACAACCTCAAACAGTCAAACTCCAAACTCCACTATGGCCAAGACCAAAGAGCTGTCAAAGGACACCAGAAACAAAATTGTAGACCTGCACCAGGCTGGGAAGACTGAATCTGCAATAGGTAAGCAGCTTGGTTTGAAGAAATCAACTGTGGGAGCAATTATTAGGAAATGGAAGACATACAAGACCACTGATAATCTCCCTCGATCTGGGGCTCCACGCAAGATCTCACCCCGTGGGGTCAAAATGATCACAAGAACGGTGAGCAAAAATCCCAGAACCACACGGGGGGACCTAGTGAATGACCTGCAGAGAGCTGGGACCAAAGTAACAAAGCCTACCATCAGTAACACACTACGCCGCCAGGGACTCAAATCCTGCAGTGCCAGACGTGTCCCCCTGCTTAAGCCAGTACATGTCCAGGCCCGTCTGAAGTTTGCTAGAGTGCATTTAGATGATCCAGAAGAGGATTGGGAGAATGTCATATGGTCAGATGAAACCAAAATAGAACTTTTTGGTAAAAACCCAACTCGTCGTGTTTGGAGGACAAAGAATGCTGAGTTGCATCCAAAGAACACCATACCTACTGTGAAGCATGGGGGTGGAAACATCATTCTTTGGGGCTGTTTTTCTGCAAAGGGACCAGGACGACTGATCCGTGTAAAGGAAAGAATGAATGGGGCCATGTATCGTGAGATTTTGAGTGAAAACCTCCTTCCATCAGCAAGGGCATTGAAGATGAAACGTGGCTGGGTCTTTCAGCATGACAATGATCCCAAACACACCGCCCGGGCAACGAAGGAGTGGCTTCGTAAGAAGCATTTCAAGGTCCTGGAGTGGCCTAGCCAGTCTCCAGATCTCAACCCCATAGAAAATCTTTGGAGGGAGTTGAAAGTCTGTGTTGCCCAGCGACAGCCCCAAAACATCACTGCTCTAGAGGAGATCTGCATGGAGGAATGGGCCAAAATACCAGCAACAGTGTGTGAAAACCTTGTGAAGATTTACAGAAAACGTTTGACCTGTGTCATTGCCAACAAAGGGTATATAACAACGTATTGAGAAACTTTTGTTATTGACCAAATACTTACTTTCCACCATAATTTGCAAATAAATTCATTAAAAATCCTACAATGTGATTTTCTGGAATTTATTTTCTCATTTTGTCTGTCATAGTTGACGTGTACCTATGATGAAAATTACAGGCCTCTCTCATCTTTTTAAGTGGGAGAACTTGCACAATTGGTGGCTGACTAAATACTTTTTTCCCCCACTGTATATGTGTGTATGACACACACTCACTGGCCAGTTTATTAAGTACACCCATCTAGTACTGCGTCGGACCCCCCTTTGATTCCAGAAAAGCCTGAATTCTTCGGAGCGTGGATTCTACAAGGTGTCGGAAACATTAGTTGCGCAATTTATACCATAAAGGTCTTGTAAACGAATAACCAAGATTTGCATCAAAATGTCCTCGGACAGAGTATGTTTTCTGCAATGTGAGAAGGTCAGATGGTGTACTTTTGTACTTGGCCATTCTGTGTTTTCTTTTCTGTGGTTTGGTGATCCTAAACCTAATCCTGGGTATCTCTGTTGCTTGTTCTCTAGGAGGCTGGTGGCATGTGGTTCTCAACATGGACACCACCATCGCTATCACTCAGAACTTTGCCAGCACCACCAACTTCCCCATCGTGTGGCATAAAACTGTGCGGGGCCGGCCCAAACTATCCAGAAGTGGTATCGGTAAGCACTCCTAACAGAACCCCCACAGCTATAGGAACATAAGTATTTCGTCAAATAAGAAACATTACAATATTTTGTCTGTCGGGAGGCTGTGGAATATGAGGAACAATTCTGTGCACTGGGTTTTGCGTCACTGTTTATTTGGACCAATTATGATTTAGCAGAGGTGAACTGTCACCTGGCATCTTTAGAATTTCGGAAGGGGGGGGGTTTGTTTGGTCCATAGACGGCCGAGATGATTACAGAGGAGGGGGTGTGAACCTCTAGTGCCCCCAAACTAGGGCCCCCCACAGCCTAACCCCAGATCCACTAACTTCCACTAGGAGGGTGTTTCTTTTTTTCATACATAACATCTCTCTCTCAGTATCCTGAAGCAGGAGAGGCCAGACATGGCTGCCCTAGCAGACAAAGTGGACCTCCAGGAATCGACTGGCATCGCCTCGGACAGCTCCAGTGACTCTTCCTCCTCCTCCTCTTCCTCCAGCTCCTCTGATTCAGACTCAGAGGTACATCCTATTTCCTCGAAACACACACACACACACAGTGTGGTATTCACACATGAATATACATTAGCCCTCTACTCTAGGGACCCCTGAGCTGGGTGTAAGGTAGCACTATAAAATAGATGGCAGCAGGCACCTGTTCACATGCGGGCAGATGTCACGGGGTCTGCCACACGTGAAACGGCCACACATACTGTATAGGCAATCATGTCGCCTCATTCTGAAATGCTGTTATGCAAAGGTCCTGTCTCTCACTACTGCATATGAGCACACACAACATGCCTTGACATTACAATTAGAAGGCAGTCAGAGGTGACAGAAGTCTAGAGATAGAAGAAATTACATGAAGTTACGATGTGCATATATTATATTTTCCTGCCTTAACACGCACCTATATAATGCCTTAAATGTTAAGGGTATATTGTTCCCTCTAAGTTGGCTTGCTGGGTCACAGAAACATAGCCACGGGTCAGTCTTGGGTTTCTGGAGCTGGCGGAACTGGTGTTGAATATCTCACAGCCTTTTGAGCAGAGGCCTGCTTGGTGGACAGCATGTCCCTCCAGTTACATATACATGCATATCAGGTTGGGTTGGGCTGTTGGGTGTAGGTTGGGGGTTACCCTTGTGTAATGGTTGGTAGGCCCTGCCTTCCCTTGGATAGAATATTCTGTTCTGCTGACTTAGGTGTTCCACTGGTTGAACAAGAACACTATTGTCATCAGATGATTGTCTGTATATACATTTGAAGTCGGAAGTTTACATACACCTTAGCCAAATACATTTAAACTCAGTTTTTCACAATTCCTGACATTTAATCCTAGTAAAAAAATCCCTTTCTTAGGTCAGTTAGGATCACCACTTTATTTTAAGAATGTGAAATGTCAGAATAATAGTAGAGAGAATGATTTATTTCAGCTTTCATCACATTCCCAGTGGGTCAGAAGTTTACATACACTCAATTAGTATTTGGTAGCATTGCCTTTAAATTGTTTAACTTGGGTCAAACGTTTCGGGTAGCCTTCAACAAGCTTCCTACAATAAGTTGGGTGAATTTTGGCCCATTCCTCCTGACAGAGCTGGTGTAACTGAGTCAGGTTTGTAGGCCTCCTTGCTTGCACACGCTTTTTCAGTCCTGCCCACAAATGTTCTATAGGATTGAGGTCAGGGCTTTGTGATGGCCACTCCAATACCTTGACTTTGTTGTCCTTAAGCCATTTTGCCACAACTTTGGAAGTATGCTTGGGGTCATTATGGCGGTTTTGGAGCAGTGGCTTCTTCCTTGCTGAGTGGCCATTCAGGTTATGTCGATATAGGACTCGTTTTACTGTGGATATAGATACTTTTGTACCGGTTTCCTCCAGCATCTTCACAAGGTCCTTTGCTGTTGTTCTGGGATTGATTTGCACTTTTCGCACCAAAGTACCTTAATCTCTAGGAGACAGAATGCGTCTCCTTCCTGAGTGGTATGACGGCTACGTGGTCCCATGGTGTTTATACTTGCGTACTATTGTTTGTACAGATGAATGTGGTAATTCAGGCATTTGGAAATTGCTCCCGAGGATTAACCAGACTTGTGGAGGTCAACAATTCTTTCTGAGGTCTTGGCTTTCTTTTGATTTTCCCATGATGTCAAGCAAAGAGGCACTGAGTTTGAAGGTAGGCCTTGAAATACATCCATAGGTACACCTCCAATTGACTCAAATGAAGTCAATTAGCCTATCAGAAGCTTCTAAAGCCATGACATCATTTTCTGGAATTTCCCAAGCTGTTTAAAGGCACAGTCAACTTAGTGTATGTAAACTTCTGACCCACTGGAATTGTGATACAGTGAATTATAAGTGAAATAATCTGTCTGTAAAAAATTGTTGGAGAAATTACTTGTCATGCACAACCGACTTGCCAAAACTAGTTTGTTAACAAGAAATGTGTGGAGTGGTTGAAAAACGAGTTTTAATGACTCCAACCTAAGTGTATGTAAACTTCCGACTTCAACTGTAGCATGTTAAATTGGTAACAGGTGTTTGTAAGTAAACAGTGTGTATGAGGGACAGTGACACCTAGTCCTCTTATTATGTAAATGGGATGTAATAGATGTGTAGTATGTTATATGGAGAGATGTAACCAAGACCTTTCTGGTTTGCCCCTCTCCCTGCAGGCTGAGTCGGGCTCGGAGGGGGACGCCATGTCTCACCGGCGGAAAAAGAGGAGGACGTGCGGCATGATGTCCAACGGAGACAGCAGCACCAAGGATGACTGTGTCAGCAAAGAGCGCAGCTCTTCCCGGTGACCCCCTCGCTCCGCCCCTGCTTCTCCAGAAGGCCACACCCAGGGGGACTCTCGCACACCGAGCGGCCATTTTGTTTGTTTTCATTTGTGTGTCTCCAAAGGAGATTATGGTGGCCCTCTGTCTGTTGGATAGATAAGAGGGCTGCCTCAGAGACCCAGCCTAACCCTAGGCTGTGATAAAGGAGATTCCCCCTGAGGCGTGGACCTGCTGGAGATCTATCTGCCACCGCTCAGCTTCTAGTCAAACGTCAATCTATATTGCTGTTAATTGTAGGGGGTGAGAAGAGCAGTATTTCAGTGAGAGGGAGGGGTGGGCTGTTGTCCTGTTGTACACCAGGTACTGGGGCTGAGGCAGGGAGCCTATCAGGCTGGCCTGTCTCTACAGTGCCATGGTCTTATGTTGCTCAGTTGGGGAAATGTTTTCTATTCACAGTGAGATGATGGATGGATGAATAGGTGTGTTTTGGATTTACTTTAATTTGCAGTACATGGGATGCCAGTTGAGTTTTATCATGGCAGATTTGACCATCTTTAGATATTAAAGTGTACTGTGAGAGTTCTGTAAGTCGATACTGTATGACAGGGTAAGGGTAGAGGAACGATGCTGCCTTGAAGCCACTGATTATATTTTTTCTTGGTTAATTTGATAATATTTCTGCTTTCATCCTCTGGCCTTCTTTTGCTAGTAACAGTTGAAATCGTATGCGTATGTGTTGCAATCAAAACAGTTAATTCAGATACATTTAATTTAATAGTTAGCAAATCAACAGTCCAAAATCCAGTCAAGACCGTTTGCATAGTGACATTTCTCTTTCATATAATTTTTATTTAGCTGCTGTTGGCATCTGTAGTGCAGACTAATGCACATGTCTAGTGAAACAGCTTTTTCAAGACTTAGCCCAAGTCATCCAGCAACAACTATAAAGGCCAAGGGTTCCCCCCTGACTTAGATTTAGCCGGTTCAGCTTGACATTCAAAAGCTTGACCTTTTTAGGTGAAATTGCCTGTACTACACTCCCTTAGCTACAGGTTGGGTAAGATTAATCACTCTCAGGTGCCACAAATGAATGTTGGGCTATCAACAACAATAACATTTCACCAAAAAGAAACACTCTTTTTGCAATATTGGCTGGTTATGATTGGTTTTTCTGTTATGTTTCTGTGAATTTAATTATGTATGGGTTACTCACACAATTTTGGCACACACTTTCACATTTTTATGAAAACAATTGGAGTTATTTAATAGTGATGCCTCTCGTGTAAAAGTGTGCCATTTGCTGCTATATTAATCAACATTTTAAGATGAATGAAATAAAACTATTCAATTTATTTGACATTACACAGCTATACTGTAGATCAGGGGTGTCAAACCATTTTTTTTTTTCATGAATCTTTCCGGAGAAGAACGATCTCAATTGACATGACTAAAACCAAATCTAAACTGTGTAGAAATGATAATGGACATACTTTTATAGTCTCTTCACCCTGTCCAGCTTGCTAACAGTCATCGAAACGAAAGCTAGACAGTCAGGGAGCACTCTTTTTTGCCAATTTTGACAGCGAGGAATATAACCAATATTAGTGGACCTAAATGAATGCCAAATGTGGCCCTTCTGGGCAAAATGAGTATAACACCCCTGTTGTAGATGCTGGTTTCCCAGAGCCAGATCAAGACTATTCCTGGTCTAAAAAGCACTTTCAAATAAGTCTCTATCACGGATGCCTTTTAGTCCAGAATTAGAATGAACCTCTTTCCGGGAAACGAGCCCTAGGTGTTTGATCTTGTGTTCTGATTCCAAGCCACCGTTTTTTATTCTCCATTGCATACAGAAGGGGGCACCAATGCCAGAGCTCTCACACTAGCTTGGCACCAGTGTGTGTGGTTTACAGTCCAGAAGAAACGGTTGTGTCAAAAGTAGAAATGAGGGCTGGCAAAGGGAAAAGTGTAAACATTGTAGGCCTTGTAGTTGCACATCTTGATCTTATTTCTCTGTGTTGTGCAACTAAGGTTTTTTTTGAAACATTGCAAAAAAATAAATATGTGAGGGGATAGGTAGATATTCTGGACAGACTAAATTCATGGTTCTATCCATGTGGCTTCTAGATTATGTGGCATATGCTGCTCTACAATGATTCAACTGCTTTGTATTTCGTTAGTGTAAATTCAAACAAAAGCAACTAGCTAATACATTACTGTTATTCAGCAAATAGAAGTTAATGGGTTGAATGCAGATTCTGCTTGTATAACTTTGTTCTGTGGGGTTCTGTGTTTTTTTGTGCTTTAAAACTGGCGTTGTCATCTAAAATGATTGAAAGTACTTTGAAATATGTGAATTGCTGTATGTCTATGCAGTAGGTGTTTTCCACTGTCTTTAGACAAAAGTGCCTATAAGCACCAATTGATACTGTCATTGGCCTGCAGATGAGAGGTTGTGTTGCTACTTGTGGTCAATGCGTCTGGTGTTTGCGCTGTTTTTAACCCATTAGGTGCTCACCTCATGTCAAGCATTTAGCACTATTACCGTCCCTGGGGTCGGTCACATAGTGCCTTGGATCCGATGGGGGAATGGTGTGAAAACCAGGAGCCTACATGGGTACATCTCAGTGGTCTAATGTGGCTTCCTTTGGTCGACCTCCTCCCTTCAGCCGCACTGATCTAAATCTACAGGACTGGAAAAAGGAAGCCCTCTATTAGGGTTCTGCCATATTGCTTTCACTTTCCTGTCTGTCCAGATCAGGGCAGATGAAGGAGAATGATGAGAGGAAGCCATTTTAAGAGATTTAGATGTACACCCAGACATACCTTGACGTTAACCAGATCAAAGTTAATAAATTAATGTTGATGAGTTAATAAATTCTTTTTTTATGCAGCAACGTGTTGGTATGTTTCATTCTACATATCCATAGTTTCATCAGAATCCCCTTACAGATTGTTCATAGGTTTTCAACTAAATCAATAAATTGTTCAACTAACTATCCAAAACCCTTGGCCTAACCTTAACCCTTACCTTAACCCCATATCAGTAGAGTTGCAGTTGTTAGTTTGTTAATAGTTATAGCATCTGTAGACCATCAGTAACATCTGTAAGATGACTAAAGTGGTACCTGTGATGGTAGTTGCCAAAGCAAACCCTAGTGAATCACTCTGTAGCTCAGCTGGTAGAGCATGGCGCTTGTAACGCCAAGGTAGTGGGTTCGATCCCCGGGACCACCCATACACAAAAAAAAAAAAATGTATGCACGCACGACTGTAAGTCGCTTTGGATAAAAGCGTCTGCTAAATGGCATATTATATTATTATTATTATTATAAATACTGATGAAAGAAGTACGGCACTAGTATGGCTGGCTGGAATCTGCCTGTGATAGTGTCAAAATGGGCAGGGCATTTGGGAATGGGATATTCAGTGATCTGAGTACACACACAAATAATAATTTGTTTTCATGGACATTGTGAACATGGTAAGGGTAATAAAGTGCCTTCAGAAAGTATTCACACCCCTTGACTTTTTCCACATTTTGTTGTGTTACAGCCTGAATTTAAAATGGATTACATGTAGATTTTTTGTGTGACTGGCCTACACACAATACCCCGTAATGTAAAAATGGAAAGCTGAAATGCCTTGTCAATAAGTATTCAACCCCTTCATTATGGCAATCTTAAATAAGTTCAAGAGGAAAACTGCTTAGCAAGGCACATAATATGTTGCGTGGACTCACTCTGTGTGCAATAATAGCATTTAACATGATTTTTGAATGACTACCTAAGTTCTGTAACCCACACATACAATTATCTGTAAGGTCCCTCAGTCGAGGTGTCACGTTCGTTGATGAACGGGTCAGACCAAGGCGCAGCGTGATATGCATACATGTTTATTTGAACTGAATAAACAACGACAAAACAACAAACGAAACGTGAAGTCCAAGGTACACAAACAACATACGGAACAAGATCCCACAACCCACTAGTGCCAATAGGCTGCCTAAGTATTGACCCCAATCAGAGACAACGAGCGACAGCTGCCTCTGATTGGGAACCACACCGGCCAACATAGATCTAGACATACTAGATCTAAACATAGAAAATACAACATAGAAAATCACAACAAGGAATATACACACCCTGACTCAACATATAAGCGTCCTCTGAGTCAGGGCGTGACAGTACCCCCCCCCCCCCCCCCCCAAAGGTGCGGACTCCGACCGCACAACATACACATAACAGGGTAGGGGCCGGGTGGGCATTCCGCCTCGGAGGCGGATCCGGCTCAGGGCGTGACGACCTCTCACTCTTCGCCTCCCTGTTGCGCCCCTGGTCTGGTCTAGACCTCGGCGCGTTGCTTCCCCTCTCCTTCCTCCCACTATACTCCAAGCCCTGTCTGGACCCTGGTGTGGGAGAGCCCGAACTTGGAGAGGGGCTGACGTCTGGGTCTGGACTGGAGCCGCTGACTGGAGCTGGACCGGGCACCGGTGGAGCGGACTGCTCAGGCTCCGGACTGGAGCCGCTGACCGGAGCTGGACTGGGCACCGGTGGGGTGGACTGCTCTGACTCCGGAGTGGAGCCGCTGACCGGATCTGGACTAGACCCCGGTGGAGCGGACTGCTCTGGCTCCGGAGTGGAGCCGCTGACCGGAGCTGGGTCAGGCACCGGTGGAGCGGACTGCTCTGGCTCCGGAGTGGAGCCGCTGACCGGATCTGGACTAGACCCCGGTGGAGAGGACTGCTCTGGCTCCGGAGTGGAGCAGCTGACCGGAGCTGGATCAGGCACCGCCGGTGGAGCGGACTGCTCTGGCTCCGGAGTAGAGCCGCTGACCGGAGCTGGACTGGACCCCAGTGAAGCGGATTGCCCTGGCTCCGGAGTGGAGCAGCTGACCGGAGCTGAACTGGGCACCGGTGGAGCGGACTGCTCTGGCTCCGGAGTAGAGCAGCTGACCGGTGCCGAACCAGGCACCGGTGGAACAGGCACGGGCCGTGCCGGACTGGACACACGCACCACTGGCTT